GTCTTCCACCATGAACCGTTGCTCCTCAGCCATGCCACTACCTTGGAGCTGGCTGATTATGGACTAAAACCTCTGTACACTGTGAGCTAAATAAAGCTTTCCCTCTTTGATTTTGGGCGTTAGGTATCTTGTCTCAGTAATGAGAGAGAAGTAACCATGACAGAGAAGCTATGTTTGCTTTAATGGTTATTAACTCGAACGCCCCTGGATCCTAGAGACAGAGGCTCATTTCAAAATAGCTTGAGCACATAACAGTACAGCTGGGGTATCTGAGGGTGATAATTGCTTTAGTTCTCTAGGAATTCGTGTCATGGGAAGGAGTGGTTGGGCCACAGATGGTCTCTATTCATATCACACTGTGTGCCTCCAGATCATGTTTAATGGTCATTGCTATCTGTATTTTTGGGCTGGCAAATAAAGCTCATGGAAGGGCTCTGCTGGGTTTCCAGTGAGTCACGTGTCTTATGGGACAGGAAATAAGGGCTGACCCACGTCGTGCATTCATTCCCAGGTGGTTGGGGAACTGATGTTCACCAAATTTCATATAAAGCAGAAAATAACCGGTTCTCAGAACTACAGAGAGTCTGCAGGGCTTGTGCAGCGCTTCCCAAGGGGACCCCTTTTTTGAGGGGGACAGATGTCAGGCAGACAGAAACAGCCCCTGCCATAACTAAGTGCTAGCACTTTCAGGTAAATGGTGTTTTCTGTGCCAGAAATAGATTGCTGAAGACAGGCTGTGGACGGTGAGGCAGGCTTGGCTAAGTTGTGGGGAGCCTGGACTGATCAATAGCATTATTAAAGGGCTGGAGTGAAGGAATGTTGTGGTCGGACCTCTGTGGCCTGGTTCCTCTTCTCAGAAGCACGGTCTACAGGTTCACTTTTCAGATCAATGTCTAAGTTGTTAGACTGTCAGGACCACACATCCATTGCTTTTCTCCTCCACATTTATTTCCAAATGTAAAGTCAAGGTTATAAGGATTACTTTTATCTAGTACTATAATTCATGACTCTTTAACACACTGAATCTTAGTCACAATGCTGCCAGCCAAAGGGGGTTAGAGGAGGGGAGCACAGTGACTGGTTCCCATCTGTGGGTCCTTGAGTTTGACTGAAGACATGGGAACTATGGTTACCTCTGGAACCCGGGGCTAAAGCTGTGAATGGATTAGCCTCAAGATGGGAATGCAGCAACTGAAGCTGGGTGTGGTGGTACAAATCTGTGGGTGAGGTGGTTAGGATTGTGAGTTCAAGGTTAGCCTGGAGTACACAGTGAGACTGTCACCAAATACCAGATCATGAACAAGATAGGAGATTTTACTTGCTAGGATTATTTCCAAAAGATGAAAAATATTTCCAAAAGATGAGAAGTATAAAATAAAAAGCGGCCTTTATTCTGAAAACACACAGAGAGATGACTGGCACCCCCACCACAGGTGTCTGGAGATCTCTCCAGCGGACACGTGGTGTGGGGGCATGTAAATAGCCTCGGTTTGGGGTGGAACCTAAGGCGGGCAATAGGGATGTCCTGGTAGCCCATTGGTCCTAGGTTTGGCGCCATATGTAAATTTCCTAAGGGCAGAAAGATGGCGTCACAGGTAACTTCCTAGGGGCAGGGGAGATAGGGGCTTCCTGCTTCCGGTTGAGGTTTTCCTGGCTACAGTGTCCTGTCTGGGCCAAAACCCTTTCATTACTATCGTTCAATCTTCAGAAACCTGTTATTATTAAATGTAAATGCACCAGTTCCAGTTGGGAAAATAATCAGAACTGGATAATACTGGGAGGAGTTTTATTTTATTGCCATTTAAGCTGATCATTGTGGAAATAAAACAAAAGCAATGGATGCTTTAGTAAAACGGAAAGTTCTGAAGAAATTAGCCTGTTTTGGCTGTTAAAAATGAGAGGAAATAAAGGAAAAAGAAATAGGCCACCTTCTGAGGGTTGTTATTGTAGTACAGTTAGTACTGACAGGAATGAGCTGAGTGCAAGAATCTCAAACATTGGAAGGGCACACATCTCAGGAGGGTCACAGTGCCCTTTCTGAGGAATGTACCTGTGAGTAACAAGCAAAAACCTCCCTGGACTTACTGGCAGGCTTTGGGTTTATTATGATAGCCTTGGAACCAGAAAATGCTTACACTTTTCTTTCATAAAGCTCACAAGGAATTGAATATTTTTATTTTTGTCTTTTTGAGACAGGGTCTCGCTATGCAGTTCGGGTTGGACTTGAGCTCATTTTGTAGTCCAGGCTGGTCTTGAACCTGCAAAGATCCTCCTGCCTCAGCCTCCTGAGTGCTGAGATTACAGGTTTGTGCCATCATGCCCAGCTCAATCAAATATTTTTATAGAAAAAGCAGACAACAGAGCATGCAAGTGAAATCAGAGGAAGGTATGAGTGATGCCGCTGGATGTTCTGCGTCTTCTAGGGGAGAGGACAGAAGGTGACAGTTGGCCTCTGTGTTCATGGGCTCTGCACGGACTCAAGCACCTGAGCCTGGAAAATACCAGAAAAAACAATGCCAATGTACATATCCAGAGATTTCTTTGGTCATTATTCTGTCCAATTCTACACAACAGCTATTTACATAACAACGAGGTACTATAATCCAGAGCTGACTTCAAATATACCAGTGATGGCACAGGTTACATGCAATTATTGTGCTATTGTACATGAGGGGCTTGAGCATCTGCAGGTTTTGATATCTGCAGAGGAGCCAATTCCTCACGCTGAGGGATAGCTCTAGTTTTCATTCCTACCTCAAGCAGGTCCGATGTAATCTTCCTAAGGAATAGGTCCCCACATATCCTGGCAAGGCTGGGTGGGGAGGAAGCAAGTTGCACTGTTAGATATAAGTGAAAAACCACAAGGTGTCAGACAATACTAAGCGCACCCCCCACCCTGTCCTAACACAAAGGCAGAGGAAAGTTATGCTAGCAGTTTGCCAAGGGACTATTTTTGGGCAACTCACACACCCACACATCCTATTAGTTATCCTGGTCTCTAAATAATTAGGTACTTAGAAATTTAAATGTCCTCCAGTTGGAATAGTTTTTAGAAGGGACCCAATGTTAGAATTGATAAGCAGTCAACACAAACACCACTGAATGAAAGGAATAAACAACACTGCAATGTGTTTCCTCAAGTTTGTGTTTGTTATTATGATGGAATGCTAATAAAGTCTTTCCTGGGTACTGTTCTTTCCTTTCCCCTCACCCCTTCTTTTTGTTGCTTTTGCATCCTCATGCTGAATCTGAGCTATGAAATCTTTGGATCTGGTGGGGTTCCTTCATGATGTCCTGGGAAAACAGTGGAGACCAACTGAAGACCTCAGGTCCACAGACGTCTGTCAAGAGCTTGTCACCAGCAAAGCATCGTGTAATGCAAGACTCGTGTGTCCATGCGTGGAAAACAGGAAGAGATGAAGATGCAGGCAGTCTCGGCCCTTCAGGGATTCCCTACGGGAAGCGGGTGACTTGCTAACACGGCGGGACTCAGGGCTGATGTGCAGGGCGGGAGTGTACCTGTAAAATGAAGGCATCGTGGGAAGGGGTGAAGCTGAAGAGTGGAGGAATGAGGTGCAATCAGGATTTAAGTCTATTCCAAATAAAATCACGTCTTATTAAATTTGGAACCCACCCCAACCTGAGATTTGTGTTACAGTTCAGCCAGGGCACCAGATTCCTGGCAGTGGCCCCGGGCTATGGGAAGACAGCAGAATTTGGATGAGTGGGTTGAACCTGTGAGTAACCACAGGAGGCAACTCTCCAACACTGAGTTTAGCAAAATTCTAGTGTCTTTTTCCGGTTCTGTATATGATTGCTACGTTCTAAGTCTGCCTTGACTTTTAACATTTCATGTTTGTTGTTCTTCAACCTCATTCTCATAACAATGTAGGATTATTCAAAAACAGTTTTAAGATTTTAGTTTTCTCCATTTTCCATGCATCTTAGTCACTGGTATCTAGATGGCAAAAACATTAATGTCACTGATCAGAAAGAAACTTGATTCCTGGTCTTCTTTTACCATGGATTTTACAGAAAAATCCCTTGATCTGTCTGAGTCACTGTCAGGGGCTCAGTACTATTCCTGGCGTGAGCAGCAGCAGCTGGGAGGATGCACCAAATGTCCTGCCATAGATCAGCATGCTTTTGCTCAGCCTGGACACAAGAGAGACTGGTCAGTTTTATGTCTGAGACTTTTCACGCAAAAGCTAATAGACGCTGTTTAATAAGACAGAAGATTCCTAAGACTCGACTCACATACAAATGCTTGGTCATTAGAAAACCCACTATTATTTTTCAATTGTATCTCAAAAATATGGAATCGAAAAGCAAAATTCCTGCTGGAAATAAACTGCTGAAAAAGAAACCTTAGAAAAAGGTTAATTTTAAAGGAAAATTAAAGACTTAATTGAAAGTCTTAATTAAAAGACTTGAGCCATGCTGGGCCTGGGAGGAGAAATAAGCAGCATATTCACCCCTCCTGTGAGCTGACGAGCACACAGGCTAGAAGACCACCTCCCCCCTCCCCCAAGCCACTGGCTGGTTGGAGAACAGACTGATTTGATAGCAAGTGGGGTACAAAAACAACTTAGTGCTTGTATTGTTTGACTGACTTTTCAGGCCTAAGGTCAGTAGTTCTATTAAAAGGATAACGATGTGCAAATATAGCAAGTAGGAGGCTTTCCTTTTGTCTTGGTTTTGAAATCCAACATTGTCCTGTTTTGCTTTACTCAATGTTCTATTATGTCTGAAGGTATAGGCAGCAATTTGGATGGTAACAAGAGGCATGCATTATGGTAGCCATTGTTGGATTTCCTATTATCCTGTTTTGAAGTCCTGTATCACTTTTACTGTTTTATTGTGATTGGCTTTATTTTGTTTGCTTTTATACTCTTTAAAATAAAAAAATAAAAGACTGGATCTTACTCTTTCAGTAACTCTTGGGAACCTAACTGGATTAAAGTTGAATGGTCTGATTGTTAAGAGAATCATAGCATGTGTGCAGAACAGAGAATAAAACTTTAATAGTATGAAAACCAGAACTTTTTGGAACCACTTTAGTACTTGCTGCAATAAAATTGCAAAACGTTACTTGGTAACTGACTTAGCTTCTAAATCAAGCCAGAATTACACATACTCTCTGTATTACTTGAGTACATACAAGTATATCCCATGATAACATGCAGACACATGGAATTCAAACCGGATTCAACATCTGTATTGATTAGATGACCTGGAAACAAAACACCCGTCCCATGGTCCACGATACCGGTTTTGAAAAGGGAGTTTTGAATGTCACTCTTTCCAGAGTTCACTCCAGGTGGTGAAACCTGTTTTCTCAGTGTGAAGAGATCAACTCAGTTGTGTCTCTATGGGAACACACTTTTCACTCAATACCTAATGAAAATGTTTGATAGAATTTCAGTCTTTTAAGGTAAAGTGGGCTCTTCACATTCCAGTGGGTAAGAAGGAATCTCGTGAAGCTCTTACGTCTGATGACACCACCGAGAGCAACGCTCAAGGACCTTTTCTGAGTCATAGAACATGGGTTTAACTTTCCGGAGAACTGAATTAGAACTACAAAATTAACAGGCTATGGAAATGAACTGAGTCCATAGGAATCTCTAAATCTGATTTATTCAGCTTTTGCTAAGATCTCTTCAAAAGCCTTTTATAGTGTAGGTTTCTTCATGAGTTACGTACTTGGCACGGGACTTTGGGATTGTTTTAAAACACTAGAACAAAGTGCTTTACGTGGTGCAAATTCAATAGAAGGCCAAAATTGCCTGCAGCAGTGACGGTATGGAGTAAAACCTACACTCTTACTGAACATTCAGGGCCCACCATCTGCTAGAGGTGAGACCTGTCACTGATCAACTTGGCTCCTTGTTTGATCATTACTGAAGCGCTAGGTGAAGACAGCACCTGAAGTGGAAGCCACTGGGAGTGAATGGCTGTGGCAGCCCGGGTGACAATCTCCGCTCTGAGGAACACCTGCTGTGGATGCGAGAACCTGAGGATGAACCTGAGGGTGGTAACATGTCTGCTCTGTAGTTACCGTCTGCCAACTCCTAAGAGGTTGCGTGTACACTGGGAGTCACTCAAGAGCACGTGGGAGCTCACTGTGGCTTCAGTCCCAGCTTTGCTCTGCTGTGCCAGCAGAGGAGTGACACTCCTTTACCTACCTGGAGGGGCCAGGATGTGGACTGCTGAACGCGCCCCTCTGAGCTCCTCAAGGAAAAGCGCCGTGGAGATATTTACAGCTGAGAGCTCTGCCGGGGCCTGAGTGCTGACCTGTGTGTCTGTGTCTCTGTCCTTTCCACTCTATAACCTTGGTTTGGGGCGCCCCATCCCTCCACGTGTAAGCTGTTTGGCACACAAATGTTTACACATTTGAAATGGGTGTTCTGACTCCATTCCAAAGATATTTACTAAAGTTAATGAAATGTCCCCCAAATGAAGGACTCTGTCAAGTTTAGAAAAACTTCAGCTTTCTCCAAGGTACATGTGACATAATAAAAAGTTCTTTAAAAAAACTGAACTGGTGTTGTGTGAAACTACAAGTTTTAATGACAAAAATAAAGTATGCCACGGTGTCTAGATATTCATCTGAAGAGTACAAAGATGGAGTTCTGAGAAAAAAGGGTCTCAACACTATAGAAAATAAACGTGGTTCTTCAATTATTTTCAAAGGAAACATTAAGAAAATGTAATGTTTCATACATTGAAATAAAGCAATTAGTCAGAGGTAATAAATTATAAATACAGTAGTTCAAATTTTTTTTAGCATTAGTTTTTCTAAACAAGTTGAACTTAAAACATTTTCTATCTGTTATACTCTTTCACAGGAATTGTGGAAGCTTCACAGAGATCTGAAACAATGATACTGTCTTGTAAACTGTATGGAGAACAGACTGGACTTTGACTGTCTTAGGTTTAGAACATATTTTGGCTAAAACATTAGCTTCAGCTCATTGATGTGGCTTTCTGTTTTAGAGAAATGACATTGTGATTTGTGATTTTTCTGTGTGGTACACCCAAACCTTCTTCACTCACAAGTAGTGCTTGATTCTTTGCAGGGGGTTCTGTCAGATTCATAATCAAAATGATGGAAACTGTAAGTAACTTCTTTAAGATGGAGAAAATAAAGTGCTTTTAAATTCAAATATTTCTTGCCCTAAACCAAATGGGAACATACAGTACTTAGTCCTGAAATGTCCATCTCTTGACATACACATTAGAACGGAAAAAAATAGTTTTGGGCCATTCATGTCCTTCAGGAACTCAGACTGGATCTAAACTGGGCTTTGCATTGTCCTCCTGCTCGTGTTTGTACATAAAGGTTAACAGGAAGAGGGCGACGTCCAAGGATGACCAATAGGCAGTATGCGACGTGACGGCTGACCAATAGCGGCTCTCCACGAGGCCTTCTCTGAGTTCAAAGTCAATCCTGTGGTCCAATTCCACTAAAAAGAAAAGAACTCACATGAATAAAGATTGCAGGAAGGTGCATTCCATACACTTCTTACAGTTGAGAATAAAAATGCTGCTAATAGAAATGACTAATTCCATTTTATTTTGTTTTGCTGGTGCTATTTTGAACCTAGAGCTTTATGCAAGCTGGACAAGTGCTCTACCACTGAACTGCTTAGAAGTCTGCTCTTAGATCACAGTGCCAAACGACATCAAAGTTAAAAACCAGCAGAAGTCAAGAAAGCTGTGGGAAAAATTTGGTTTGATTTACACTGGGAAATCACAGGACCCTGGGAAGCAATCTAACGTAAATGCTCATTTTATACATGTACTTTGTGGTAACACATTTGGGCATTTGAAAATGCTTATACAAATATTCTATTAATTTATACATTTTATGATGAGATAGATGTTTTTGGATTTATCTGCATATTGCACACAAACATCAATTAGGCTACAACATACTTGAAAATACGACACAAGCTTTCTGACAAGTCTTTAAAACTACAATTATTTTTAATTAAAATAAGCTTATCCACAAGAACCCAGAAATAGCTGAAATCCATGTGGACCCAAGAGGCAGCAATGGTGTGATCTGTCTCCTGTACTCCCCAGGCCTCTGTGTGAGATCTGTAGGCACCTCCTGCTGTGCAGATGGGAAGGCGACACAAGAGGACACCAGAATCTCAAGTACGATGGAGAGGAGTCAAGACGAAGTTGATTACAAAGAGAAAAGATTAAAAATAGAAAAGGTGGAGGACACATTTTAAGACCAGTGAAGACCACCAAGTAATAATTCTAAGACCTCATGTCCAAAGGTCACTGCGTGTCTTCCTAGTCCAGAGTCTGAAGTTGTACAGGGAATTATTTTTGTATTTGCAGTACAGGGGAACAAACGCACAGCCTCGTACATACTAGGCACATGCTCTAGCACTGAGCTGGGTCCCCACCGCTTTTCATTCTGAGACAGGATTTATGCTAAGCCGCCCAGGCTAGCCTGGAAGCTTCCTTCTTCCCGCCGCAGCTTCTGAGTAGCTGGGATTGCAGATGGGCACCCCACTTCTGCCTTAAGAGGACCGCAGTGTCAGTAACTAGACTGGCCAACCTGTACTGGATGAGCCTGTGCCAGTTTCTCGTCCGTCTCTCTTCCTTTTACGCGGGTCATGGAAGCCCCCAGTCTGGCTCTGCATGGCACCATGGGCTGCTCTCTGCCAAAGTGGGCTCCTACGTACATGCAGTTACCTCAGCCCTGGATTCTCGCTAGGACCACGCCTACAATGGGGGACACCATGCGGGCTGGTGCCTTTTCCCAGGTTTTCTCACTGACTCAGCTCAGAGGGAAAGGAAACACTGCCTAAATGCCAGAATACTGTATCTACAAAATAAGAACCAGGTGAGAAGTAAAGCTGAGACCGAAACCATGATTTCAAAGCATCATGGGCTCTTTGCCTATGTTCTGTAAAACACGGAGTAGTTTCTTACTGGGAGGTCTCACATAGTAGCCTATTACTGTCCTCAGTCCCTAGATCGACTGTGTCCACACCGTGAAGCTAGGGTGACATCGGTACTGTACTTTAGCACAGAATTCTCATGTGCATGAGGTCTGTCAACACGGAACGGTCCTGAAAAATATCACAAATGGGTAGGAAGTGTCTTTGGATCATGATGGAGATTAACTGCACACATTTCTTCTCCTCAATGGAAGCATCGCAATTTTCCTGGAAATTTCCAAAGATGTACTGACTTACAAAAGGCTGTCTTACTTGTAAATAATAATTACGGTCATAATTGCGTGGTATTTGGCTCCATACAGTTTTATAATTTAGTTGTTATTTCTGTCAAAAATTTTTCTCTCAGAAGATATTTATCCTGGAAGGTTTTCAAATTCCTACCAGCTGACGAGAGAGAGGCTAGGTAGGCTAAGTTCTGAATATGGAAAACTCTAGGAAATGGCCAGACTGGCTGGACCCTCGATGGTCCGGTTTGGCCAACTTTTTCCAATTGTATTCACACTGGCGCTGCTCTCTCTGTGGTCCTGTTTATGGTGTCCAGTCTCCCTGCAAAGCTTTTTCATTCAGGCACGTCCGTCCCCACTTCTTCCATAAACCTTTCATGACTTCCCCAGGGGAAGCCGCTTCCCATTCCTTGAAACTGACAGCGCCCTTTCCTCTGGACCTCTGCTAGTGGCTCACCACACGGTAGCCCGTAGGATTCTGTAAAGATCGCCCTCCCTACCAGAACACATGCTCTCTAGAAATCACTTTTGTATTGGAATTTAGTACCTGGATAGGCAGTACTGAACTCTGCTGCATGCTGGCATCTTTTCTAGTAATTCTATGCTGTCTTGGCTTATACATATTTAACAGCTACTCAATGAGGGAAAGCCATATGGATTTTACCCCCGGAGTCTGTGGTGTCCATATGATTAGTGGTCAGATGCATGGATAACTGTGATGGATTTGAGAAGAGCTAACTGACGACAGGACAAATCTATTAATGCATTAATTTTCCTTCTTTTAAAGGAAAATGCAAAAAGCATTAATAAAATTACTTCCTCCTGGAAGTGACTGGCTATTACGGGACAAGGACCAGAGAAAGAGATAACTATACAAGATCACTTCTTGAGGGAAATTTACTGAGTTAGGTCAACACAAACTGTTGCTATGAAACAAAAAATGCTTGTTATATTGTTTGGGAACTTCATAGTAAGTAATATTTTCCTGACAATTGAACAAACTTAAGAAAATGAACAATCAAACTGTAAAATATCCAAAGAAAACCCTGCAACATTTGTTTAAAAATCAGAGACAAAAATCTAATATTAAAAAAAGGGGGGCTGGGGATTTAGCTCAGCAGCATAAGTGCCTGCCTTGCAAGCACACAGTTATGAGTTCGATCCCTGGTACCAAAGAGAGAGAGAGAGAGAGAGAGAGAGAGTGTAGACAGCAGAAAAATGAAGTTAGTAAAAAAAAAAAACTTTTTTTAAATGTTGAGATTAGTCTTGAGTAATACATTTAGATAATGAAAATTAAAGAGACTGTAAATATTTCTTGAATCCAATAGTATTTTTAAAAGTGAATCTACCAGGGGCTGGGGATTTAACTCAGCGGCACAAGCACCTGCCTTGCAAGCAGGCGGTCGTGAGTTCGATCCCTGGTACCGATAAAAAGAAAAAGAAAAAAAAAAAAGTGTAAAAAAAAGTGAATCTACCCTTGTAAAGTACATTAAATATGTGTGTTGGAACTAGGTACAGCTATGGCATAATTATATTCCTAATTAACATTACTGATACCTGAAATAACTAGAAATGATTAAGTTCTCTGCACTGGGAAATTCTTTTATAACTAAGAATATTACATGAAAAGGACAATAAACCTCTTGGAAGCCCTTAAGACAATAAAGAAGAAGGAAACTGACCTAATGCATTTCTCCTAAAGGTTCTTTCTCTGCAGAAGTGTACAGGAATATGGTTTATTTTAGCACAGTATGTGGCTATTCAATATTCAAGTTTCAGAAACACTACCATTTAAGATTAGAAAATATAAGGAAGAAAATACACATAAAACAGTCTGCACGGGTGACATAGGGGGTGATCTCACAGAAGATGTGATCCAAGTTTTCAGTGAGAGAAGAAGGCTAGGCAGATCTTTTTCACCGCGTTCTGAATGCTATTCCTGACATATACCATACCGAGGGCATTATCTTTATCCTGCATTACATTTTCCGGAAAAAGAAGTTGTGGGAGATAAAAGAACGATTCTTGAAGTCTGAAATCTGTGAAGAAAACAAAACAAGGCATAAGATGCTGTACAATGTGACAGATGGTTACAAATGGCCTTCACTGTTAAACTGGTAAGAACAGATACTACACTTGATCTTAGCCAAAAGGCCAAGAAGCGATTGGTCTTCATGGTTGCAGTGCCAAAACAAGCTGATTAAGCCTACCATAAATAAAGTACACCCCTGAGTTTCTGTGAAAAGTACCTCAGGAAAAGTGTAGGCATAATTAACTTTGAAATATAGGCCATTAACCCTAGACATCCTCATCTTTCCTGTCATAATGTTACAAACACAGGGGGCACAAGAAATATAAAACCTCTGAAAAGAAGCCTATGTTTTTCAAAACAAGTGAAGAATACAATACAAGTGGGATGACCAGACGTCTGTGAGAGAACACTCTTCAAAGACAGAAAGCCCCGGCTGATTGCAATTCAAACAGGGGTGAAAGAGCAAAAGGACAAAAGTTTCAGAATACAGGTGGACCAGAAGCACTGAGGCCACAGATGGAAGAAGAAGAAGAAGAAGAAAAAGAACCAGCCCTCTCATCACCACAACAATTCCAGAGATTTCAGGAGGAAACTCAGATTTACAAGATAAAGCCAAGCTAGCAATTAAGACACAAGCAATTTGACAAATGCAGGATTACAAAGAACAACATTTAAGTGAAGCAAGTCAAAGAATGAGTAGGGCCAAATTTGGGGCCCCAGTTTAACAGGTAGACCCCTAGTGAGGTAGCTGGAGAGAGTATTTGGAACTAAGACTCATGACTTTCTCAGATTTAGTTGATAAGAAATTTGCCATTAGAAGCAGCAAAGAACTGCTAAGCAAGAATAACAGGACATGTGTTTGTTAAGCTAAGTACATCTACTGTTCCCAAAGAACCAGGTTCACTATTATTATTCTGAAGTATTTTAAGAAGTAAAAACAAAACTAAAATAGTTTTCTTTTTTCAGATTCTACGCTTTACTTTTTCTGGAGTCCAACTCCCACTGTTTTCTCTAACCCACACCCCAAGTACTGACAACTGAGCCCTGGGAGTGCCTACTGCACCCCCAGTCCTGAGCATGAGGCAGGGTCTTGCTACATTGCCTGGGCTGGGCTGGAACTTGCAACTTTCAAGCCTGCCTCAGCTTCCCAGAGTGCAGGGATCAAGGTGCGCAGCTCAGCAGCCGGCCCTCTTGCACACTAACGTCATGAGCTCGGGTGCTGTGCGTTACCAGAGTCACAAATAACTGTGATTTCTCAACTGCCACCCCACAAAGTTCTCTGAAATTACCTTCGCTCATAATTTAGAGCTTTCTCTTGACATCTGCATGTCCCAACAGAATTTTATTATTTTCGTAACTACATTTTAAATGTTAAGTTAAAATAAGAATTTAAGTCAGCAACAGTACAGAAACTTCCAGAACTAAAATATGAGTTTTATACAAAATCTAAGAGGAAGGGGATGGGGATTTAGCTCAGCGGCGTAAGCGCCTGCCTTGCAAGTGTGTGGTCATGAGTTTGATCCCTGGTACTGATAAAAAAAAGAAAAAGACAAAAAAAAAAAATCTAAGAGGAATTTTCTAGACAGGTTTCAAAAGAGCACCATAAAATTTTCAGTGCTCATTAAGATTAAGAGACATGCTGCTGGTCCAGTTAGGAGTCTAACCTCAGACACCCCACGCCGAAGTGGCTGGCCACGGCCGGGGTGAGGTGGGGTGAGGATTCCCTGCTGGCACTATCACACCTGAACGGGCCTCTTCAGCAGTTTTTGGTCTTGTTGCCAGTCTAGCTGAGATTTATGAATGGTAATAGACTGACCACAATTTAGAGCACCAGACACAGTGATAATATAAGGCTGCAAGTAACTGAAATGTTTAAAAATTTTTAGAGAAGCAAGCATACTTTTCTTCCTGTTACACAAAGGTAGTTTCAAGTCTCTACTTCCTCTTATGTGCTTTCCTGAAAAGTAGGGTTTGTATTAGGCTTTATTTTATTCAACACTTAAAGTACAAGCTTCCAAGCTTAGACTCTTGGAAGCAAATATATTCAAAGTGCATTAGTATCTTATAGCCATTCAAGACTTTACATTTTGGAAATTCACTGAAAAAAAATCAAAGTTCTAACGCAAAGTCCATCAGAGCTCTTTACTCACGCATTTCTGGCATCTTTCATTTATCTGAGGTAGCTGGGAGAGGACTGGGAACCATACAGTGGCTCTGGTAACGTTTCTAAGCTTTGAGGGTTTTACAATTATGCTGGCTGAGGGGTGCTGTGGAATCAGCAGGCTTTGGCATAAAAATTCTCAACATCAGATACAGAAGAATTGAAGTGATTACATGAACTTTTAAAACTCAGATCATATTAACATTTCTTAAAAATATAATTCATAAAAATTAGGGTAGCTGGGAGGATGAGGCAGGAAAACTATAGGTTTGAGTCTAACTGGGGCAACTTAAGAGACTTAGTGACACCTTGGTTCAAAAAAAAAAAGGTGGGGGGGGCCTGGGGCACAGCTCAGCGCAAAGGTCGTGGGTTTAATCCCTGGCAGCACAAAGAACAACAAGTCAATTGGTATTTATCCCAGAGATCTGTTTTTGCTTAGTACTTTAGACCCTTACACCAGAATGTCCTATTAATGATCTAACCATTATTAATCATCAATGCAGGAGCTGGAACTGGATTTACCTGGAAAGTATTCCTAAAAATGCAAACAGAAGGAAAGTAATTTTTCTTACAGAGCTAAGGTTTGTCTCAGACCTGAGCACTGACTGCTCCTGCTAATGTCTTAAACTCTCCTACCCTCCTCAAGGTCTTCAAAGGCTGCCAGCAAAACCCTAGGAAAGAACAGCAGAACTAACATGCAGAGTCCAGGAAGCCAGAGCTGCTGTGTGGCAGGGTCTGTGTGGCCATGGTGGAGGTAGACAGTGAGGCCGCTGGCTTCTTCTCGTCTTCCACCGAGTCTTTGGGTGTCTCAGGGGGCTGCGCCGCTGCGGCGCGTCCGAACCTGGAGAACAGCATCCCTCCGAGGCCCTTTCCGATGCTCGCAGCCCCTGCGTTCCGCAAAACAGGGAGTCACTGCTGAGTCACACCACATACCTCAAGGAGCACCACCCATAATCACAGCAGCTGGCGGGGGCAGACCCGACTCATGCTTTCCAGGGTGGAGACATAGAAAAACACAATTTACACTGCAGGTTTCTAAATAAAAATGGTGTGGAAAAGGACAGCTGTAGAAAATCTAGGCCTATGGGTTACAGGAATATAAACAGAGAAATAAACATATTCCATTCAAAGTATTGTTACTAAAATATTTGGTGCACACACACACATACACACACTAAAAGAACCAACCATTGATGGAGTATGTATTTACCACTGACAGATGCACTTCTGAACTGAAGTTGGTATGTCACACAAAGCCCTTAAAGGAATTTGTGATGAAACATCATACTGCCTAGCAGTGAAAGCCCAGCTCTGGTGCCACCTCGTGGTGCTTTATATTAAGGCAACTTGTGACCAGAAGCAAGGCACAAACAGCAAAGGGGCACACAGCTAAGCCCAGTGAGACACTAAGCACTGCGTGACACTGGACAGCATTCAAAGAGAAATTAAGTATCTCTGTGGCCTCAGGAAGCACACAGTTTGCAAGACACTGGCCAGGTCGAGAACTGGTGCCATGATGCTCTGCACAGGAGGACACTGGTTCCACAGAGGAGGGGGTGGGCACGGAAACCCCAGGACTTGCTCCCGATTTCCCAGTAAGTGGGAGGGTGAAGACTGAAATGTGGAACTTGCCGCTCACAGCAATGCTTTTTGCTGGCCCCCTGAGCTAAAAGTCGCAGGATCTGCTCTAATCTGAGAATGCAGCTTTTGCTCCTCAAATACACAGTTGCGGGTTACCTCACCCCAGGAGGTCTACAGAGTACTTTCAGGTTCCTCAAATTTCATATCCATACAAAAAATGTTTCTGTCCACAGAAAAGGAACATTCAAGAGAAATTACCCAGGATGCTGGCCTTGCCGATGTTGGTGATGGACTCCCCGTAGTGCCGGCGGGACAGGACCGGTGAGGTGACAGGGCTGGGGATGGCTGAGACGCCTTCACTCTCGGACACTGAGGTAGGTTCTTTGGCTGGGTTCAGAAAGCTTGGCTTCATATGTTCGTAAGGTAGAGGGTTTGAAGTATTGTACCAGTGGATTTGGACAGGCGAAATGTTGCTGTAGTGTTTCAATATTAATGGTTCTAATCTGTAAGCCTTGACATAAAAAATTCAAAGAAATACAACATTAATGCTTGATGCGTGGATTTTAGTAAAGTGGTTATTATTTTTCTACTGCAATTTAGGGAATTTTAAAAAAATGGATATGTAGTTGAAACATGTATTTGTACTTATTAATATGTGGCTAGTCTAATTAATATATCTTTGATGAGTTTATTAAAAAAAGTTCAGGCCAATTGTGTCTTAATTTATTCTTCAGAGAAACAGATTGATTTTTATTATATTCTGATCACCTTTAACAGGTTTATGTCAACCTCTTGAAGCTGTAAAAGTTAATCTGTAATCTGGAACACAGTAAGTAAGGTCAATTTTTAGTATTTTATAGTATCTTATTAAACCCAATCTCCCTTCTTTCCTTTTTGATTTTTAAGACAGTCTTGGTTACACAGTCCAGGCTGACCTCAAACTCCTGATGATCCTTCCTGCCTCAGCCTGTGGAGTGCTCCACCACACCTGGCCTAAACTCCATTTTCAAGCAGATTAACCAAGTGACAGTCAACAAAAACCTGTCTGTTTTATGTTAAGGGGGATAATAAAGCAGGAGGTGAAAAGAGGTACCTTTCTCCCTTACAGGACATGAAACAGAACAGGTAATGTTTGTAAAAACTGCCTATCACTTTTTGGGTAAAACACTAAAAAATATTAATAGAAGTCAGAGGAGCTTAGCACAAGCCAAACTACAGCCGAGTTCATTCCCAAGTTATAGGACAGTGGGTAAGGTGAGCATGAGTTGAGGAACTGCCCACTGTCAGCTGGGGTTTTCACACATATTTTACTTAATCCCAGGGATCCTGTACAGTGAAGCATTATCCGCATCATGTAGGTAACATACACCTCAGAGCGGACTGGCCAGGCTGGGGTAGCCTAATGTTAGCGTTCAGCTGTAATTTCAGCTGAAGTTTATTTCTTGTTCATTAGTTCCAGGTGAAGTTTATTTCTTAAAATATGATGGCTGGGCGGTTTTCTAAAATTCAAGTTCTCATGTTAAGGTTACTTGGTATTAAAGACCTTTCAGAAAACTTAACACAATTAAGCTCATTTTCTGAGAATAAATAGTATTTAAAGTAGTTTTATTATTCAGATATAGTTAGTCTTGTTCCCCAAAGGAGTAAAGGGAAACTTTTGGGGGTGGTGCTGAGGAGCAAACCGGGGGCCTCCTACATGCTAAGCATGTACCTGACCACTAAACTACACCCCAGACTGTGTTTTTTTTATTTGGTATTACCTGCATACAAAAATCTCTGGAGGATTGATATTAGAAAACATTGTTTACATCACAAATTCAATAGAGAATGGAAAAAATTCAATTATTTTAGACTTCAAGTAGATTAAAATAAACAGTACTACCTTTTCATGTGTGTACATAAAACTTGCATATTTTCAATGATCAATCAAATAAACAGTACTACCTTTTCATGTGTGTACATAAAACTTGCATATTTTCAATGATCAAGCATGTAGCATGCTTTAGGAAAAAAGTAAAGCAGGATTTTTAAGATTTACGGGTACTTGGTTATTGGTATCACAAGTGGATAAAGTCTGAGCATGCAGTAGACTGTCTCTTGTATTGTCAGATAGTATTTTTATATTGAAGTCTCACATTACAATACAAACAGATCATCTCTAAGGATTATTTCATGAATACTGGATGAACTAAAACATAAATGTCTTAAAAATATAACATTCTGCAAGGAAATAAGACATATGGCCTTGTGTTGGTATTGGTGTTAGTTCAATGGTACCTGGCAAGGTTTCTGTTGGATTCTTGAGGAACAATCTAATACTGGGGGACGGGGAGTCTGCAGTGTAACTCACCACTGGATCTGTAGGATGAAAGATGTTTAGTAAGCGGTTACAAATCTCTCTAGGTAAAATATGGTCCTGACTTCCAGTGCTTCCTGGGCGGATGCCACGCAATGCCAAAAAAACTGCAAGTGGGGATCCCATACAGAAGAAATTTTCAACCTAAAACGACAAAGCCATCCCAAATTTAAAAGATGATGGGGTGTTATCTGCAGGCAATTTTGGCACATGTTGTAGAGTAAAATACAAACAACTGTCTCTACATGTATTTCTTTCTAGTCTAAATGGTAACTATTATTTGTTAATTATATGGCAACACAGAGCGTTCTAGAATAATGCACTTGCCGGAGGAATCTGATTATTTAAGTGAAAGCGAAGGAAGAGCAATTCACTGTGCACAGATTCCCCTGCAGGAATTAACTTTCCTGAGCCGCTACTGTGGGGGGCTTTGCTAGGTGCAGTGACAGGGAGACCAATCAGCAGCACGAAGGCAGAGCTTCTGCACCCTGATCTTGCAACGCTATGGGGAGATGGAAGGGAATCAGCACTCAGCAGAGGCGGCAGCATTTGCAGGGGCTGGAAAAGCAAAACAGGATTTCCACAGCCAAGGCTGGGACGCTGGGCTGGGAAGATGGACTGACACATGGACAGAGCCATATGAGCCGAAGCAGGGGCCAGAAGGTTTTGAGAAAGGAAGGAAGTATGACGGAAAAACTGTGTGTGGAGAGTGTAGGCTGGGACGACACCATTTCGAGACTTTGCTTCCCGGAGGAAGCTGCACTAGGAGGTTAAATGTGGTGGCCGTGGAGGGTGCCCTGGGAGACCGGGACTGTTCATGTTGAGAAGAGTCAGGGATGAATGCAAAGAGCTGAAGAAGGGGTCATCTCGACCAGGGCAGGAGCAGCCATTCTAACAACAGAATATGAGGGTGCAGAGTAGAACCCACAGGACTGAACAGAGACGGTAGAGGAGGACGGGTGAGAGATCAGATGCGATCTGGCTGACGTGAGAACACTGGTTCCATGACCTGTACGCCTGTTTTCTGCTCAGTTAAGTGTGAGGTTAGCTGTAACTAATGTTACCTGTAGATGAAATTTTAGGACAAGAGATACAGAATGGGGTATGCCACCATCCAACGCTATGGAACACCACCACAGAAGCAGCACTAAAACTGAGAAAGCCGTGCCTGCCAGGAAGTGCAGAGCGGGAGGAGGGCTGTCTGCTGAAGGACAGGAACTGCTATATCAAATTAGGAGGCTGACAGGCAGCTACAGGAGGGAGCACAAAGGAAGAGACCCAGGACAAGGCGGCATCGTGGAACCCAAGGGAAGTCAGGGTACTAAGGAAAAGGGTGGGCAACATCGTGTGCATATACACAGGAGGTGACACCTTTTCCTCCTAAACCTATCCTACCCCTCTCTAAAGACTGTCTCTTTTCTTTCCTTAAAAATGTGGTACTAGGGATTGAATCCAGGACCTCACACATGCTGGGCAAGTGTTCCACTGCTGAGCTACATACCCGGTCCTTAAAGATTCTTTATTTGGAGACAAAGTTTTAACTAAGTTTCCCAGGCTGGTTGCAAACTTGTAATCCTCATCTCAGCCTCCAGAAGGGCTGGGATTGTAAGCCTGTGCCACTCCACCTGGCTCCTCTGTCCCACGAGACCCGTACTTCGCCCTTCCTCTTGGTCCTGGTGGCTCTGATGCCCTGCACCTCACCTCATCACCAGGCACTGGCAAACTGTGGCAGTGTTCCTACTGCTCATTCCACACGCCCTTAATCCTTCTCCGCAGAAGCTCTAGGCTGATTTTTCTTTTTTTTTTTTTATATTTATTTTTTTTTTTTAAATTTTTATTTAAGGAGAAAAGAAAAGAAAGAAAAAAAAAACAGTGAAGGGGTACAAGTTATACAGATTTACAGAATAAAAAAATGCGCAGTAGGAAATCACTAGTTAATGGATTACATATTGCCATCTTAGAAATAATTGTTCAAGTCACAAAATTAAAGCTTGTAGAGTGGACATTCCACCAATGATACTGCAAACAGTTCTGTTCAATGATCCAATAAAACTCTGTGATATCATTTTCTATCTTATACTTTTAAATATACATGCAGTTATATAGTTTAGAGCACTTTCTTTTCCTCTCTTTTGTACAGTGACTATTACACATTTTGGGTTTCATTGCTCCCACGGTTCTTGTTGCTTTTTTGGAAGAGAGTAAAACCAAATGTGACATAATAGAACAGAATCGGTCAAGTCAAAAGGGTGGACATAATAGATAATATAAAAACATAATACAAGGTGATCAACAATGGTTACCCTAATGCCTCCCGCTATTTCTAATAGAATTGCCTATATCATTAGTTGTAATACAATTGAACAAAACCGTAAAGAATAAAACCGACAAAACCAAAACATTGGAGACATTGTAGGTCTTCAAAAGTAGATAAAAGTTAATGAGAATGGGCGTTGTAATGAATCTCATTATCTTCTCAGCTGATGCCTAAACTTTCGAACCTGATACTATCCAGCAAAACAGAATATAGGAACCTCAGTCAAAAACAAGATGGTGAGAGCAATACAGGGCTTCAAATCGAGATAATAGAAAGTCGAAGTGGGTTACTATATTATATCCTGCTATATTTTTCCCTGTAATTAAATGGGTAAAAATAAAAAAGTAAATAATGGAGTGGAGATTGAGAAAAAAAAGGGCATAACAGCGAAACAGGGCAGATCAAAACATAACCATTTAAGCAGAACAGTGTTTCACCACCAGCTAATCCTGACCCAAAAATAGTTACCATATTGACTCCCTCCCTGAAGTCCTTGAGTACAACTTCATACACTGTAGCATTAAGTATATCAAAACAATGTATATCCATTTAAGAGAATAACAGCATTACAGAGCATTTAGAATCGACCAACAGAAAATGAACAATGGTCTCTGTATAATCTCCTTGTCTTTAAAAGGTTTTTTCTTATATTATCGTACATAGTAAAATCCAATAAGATACAACCTGTTTAGACCATTGGAGACAGAAGAACAAAAGCTAGATGAGACCTCAAAACAAGATGGTACTAAATCAGCATTACCTATTAAGATGTCATTTTCTCCAAAAAAAGCTGTTCCTATCATCCAATCTTCTCTGTCTCATTTCTGTTGAGCTCTTTTTCTGTCAGTAGCTGTCAGTTTGTCTTCTTCGTTTTGTTCTCTGCTCTATTCGTTGTGGCCTCCCCGCCCCTATTTCTGGGTTCTTTGTATTTTTCTTTTTTTAGAATATCCTGCAATACTTTCTGTAGGGTTGGATTGGTGGTTGCAAATTCCCCCAGTTCCTCTTTATCTTGGAAGCACCTCGTTTTTCCATCAATTTCCAGGGACAGTTGTGCAGGATATCTCAATCTTGGCTGTAGATTATTATCTTTCAAAGCTTGAATTATTTCTCCCCATGCTCTTCGTGATTTGATGGTTTGTGAAGAGAAATCTGCTGTAATTTTGATGGGTCTTCCCTTGTAAGTGATCTGTTTCTTGTCTCTTACAGCTTTTAATATTCTGTTCTTGTATTGAATTTCTGGAATTTTTATTATTATATGCCTGGGTGTTTCTCTGTTAGGGTTGTAGGTAGCTGGGGTCCTGTATGCCTCATACATTTGAGTATCTTTACCTTTTGCTAAATTAGGAAAATTCTCCTGGATTATTTCTGTGAGTAGCTTTTGTAGTTCACTTGTTTGTGTCCCTACTTCTTCTTTTATGTTCTTAATCCTTAAGTTATGGCTCCTCTTATCATCTTCTTGTCTTTGTATTATTGCTGTGTGTTTCTTTGTTATTTTTAAGAAGTTTTTCATTTCATTCTCCCATGTTTCAAGTCTGCCCTCCAATTCAGATAGTCTGTCCTTAGTTTCTTTCAAGCTGTTATGCCAGTCTTGGGTATATTTCTTGATTTCTTGATAGTCCCTTTGCACCTGCTTCACATACTCAATGCTTTCTCTGTTTTCTCCATCAAGCAATTCTCCCCTCTTTTTCTGTTCTTCCACTCCACCATCTGCTTTTTCCTGGGTGGTGCTTAGCATTTCTCTAACTATTCTGCATACTTCTAGCTTCAGGTCATTGATAACTTCATTCCTGAATTGGTCTATGAGGCTCTCTAAATGGCGCTTAATGTATATTGGTACAGTGTCCACTATTGCCTGATTCTCAGGATTGGGGGTCGAGGAGCCTTTTTTGTTGCTTCCCTTCCCCATATTTTCTGTTCCTTATAAAATGTAATCTTACACAGGAGGCCCGGCTTCCCTGCCTGTCAGCTACAGCTTGATCGAATTGCGCTGGCTAGTTGTTCCCGCTCACCGCTGCGCCCCAGAGAGTTGCGGAGGAAGCAGCCTACGCGGAAGTCGGTGGCTCCTCCGGGCCACAGTCAGGCTCTGGGATCTGGGCTAGGCCAGCCTAGGGAGTCCGCGAGCAGCGTCCCTCCGGCCAGGCACCTTTCACCAATCCCGTCCGAGAGGGAAATGCGCGGCTGCAGTTGCCGCCGCGCCCTGCTCTTACAGGACTGCCCGCGCCCAGAAAATCCTCCGCTGGAGTCAGACTGCGGTAGGGAGTCAGTTCCTCGCTCACCTCGCCACCAGTCAGCCTTCCTTCCTGCCCGTCGCGTTTCCGAGACCGTTCCCAGACGCCCGTTCCCAGAGCTCGGGGGTCGTGTCTCTCCTTGCCGAGCCGCTGTGGAGGTGGCCGGCCGCCGCGCGGCGGGAAATCCAAACCGCGGTTTCCGATGGCGCGGAGTCGAGTCTCCACACCGAGATTTTTCTGTTCCTATTTTAGCGCCAGGGCTGTATTCCAAGTTGGATTCTCTCAGCCCAGTTCGTTCCTGAGTCAGCAGAGCATATCTCTACTGGTTCGTATCTCCTTAGTCCGCATCATTCCTGGCCTCTGAGCCGAGCCTTTAGAGAGCGTTCAGCAGTTGCTGTTGTCTGTCCGCCATGTTCTCAGGAATCTCGGCTGATTTTTCTTTTCAGAATTAAAAAATATGCATGAATGAAACATACTTTGAATTGATACTTTTATATCAAAGGTTTGAGGAAAAATATTTAATGACTGGGTGATTTCAGCATGCTTGTAGGCTGAGGAAAATTAATGTGTATAAATAACAAACGTAAAAGAAAAAACATTTTACATTTTTGTGGTACTGGGGATTGAACCCAGGACCTCATGCATGCTAGGCAAGTGCCGTACCACTGAGCCCCCACAAAAGCATTTTAAACAATAGGGACAGAAAACGATAACACCAGGGGCTGGGGATTTAGCTCAGCGGCATAAGCACCTGCCTTGTAAGCAGGCAGTCATGAGTTCGATCCCCAGTACCGATACAAATGAAAAAAGACAAAAACAAAAAAACAAAAAACAAAAAACAAAAACCACAACAAAAAAACCCACGATAACACCAATATTTGAAAGGAATAAGGTAATTCCTTCTAGAAATTGAAAGAAAGTCCAAAAGACAGAGAAAACAAGAGAGGGACAAAGCGATGTAGGTGCACTCACCCGCACACTCTACCGAGCAGACTGCTGATGCCTTGGTCAGGCACCTCCTAAATGTTTGCCACAGAACAAACAACTTTTGTTTATGATGAAAACCCAGTTTGATAGACTAAAGAGTTATTCTCTCAGATAAGGGCAATGACTGCTCTGGCAATATTTACAGCCGGCAGAGAATTTTAAGAGCTCAGTCTAAGTTCAGAGAGAAGTAAAAGGATGAACTCACACTTGATAAAGGATTCGGCCAGTGCTACACTGCATAGCTAGCAGGGGGCAAAGTCTCCTGATCAGAGGAAAAGTTTCTCATTCTCTATACTGATGCTTGCCAATATTCTTCTTTTTTAAAGTTCAGTAGTCAACTGTGACAAACTATCAATTTCTGAAAGTAAATCCAACTGCGAGCTATGGGCACAGAAATACTTGTTCCCTTTGGAATCCTGAAGTCTTGAATGTAATTTGACGAGTCATTAGGTATTCTTTCAAAAATCTTTTTGAGATTTACTTTTCTTCTAATAGAACAATACTTAAAAACCCCATTAGACTATTGGTGACTGTATTGAAGATTTACAATGATAGTGCTTACATTTTAGTAATATGGTATTGTATCCTGACAATCTGACATATTCAACTCTCCAGTTAAAAAACCCAGAGCGTAAGAGTTTGCTCTTCCTGCCAGATTAGTTATATACACTTAGCATTAATTAGATACATAGACGGTACAGGTGAAACAAATTCTAGACTGGGATAACTCCAAGACTTGCTATGATAGTTTTTAAATAAGAAATGTTAGTAATGACTTTGTAAATCATAGGGTTAATAAAAGTATTCAGTTTAAAAAACTTTTTATGTATCATTCCACATCGTAGCCTGTATGTTAAGTTCATGTGATCTGAGAAACACATTTCAAGGAGCAGTCATGCAGTGCACCAGATACAAGCACACACACACATGCAGGAAATGGGCATTAGAAAACCGAGGATGCCTTCTGTCTGTTACCGCACAAAAGCAATCTGCTACCCAGCTGCAGGGTGCGCCCTTTCCAACAGTCCAGTCAATGTCCACAGCTCTCTGCAACTTTGTCTCTCCCCCGTATCATCGCTCTCAACAGATGATTCCGACGCTCAAAAACTCTGAAATACACCCTGCCATTCATCTCAGGTGGAATTTCCTTATTGCCGAGTCTTGAAAATTTGTCAAACTAACCCTGTCAATCTGTCCTGAGTTTTTTTCATACATTTTCAAGGACTGAAATGTAGTTTGTTTTTAAATCTCTGAAATCATTGCTGATTTCCTTCCACTATTACTTTCTCACTTCTGGTCAACTAGATGGTCACTAAAGTTTATTAATTCTAAATATTAAGCACATCCCAAATTTGTCTCTACTTTTCTTTTTTTTCCTTTTTCCTTTTTATTGGTACCGGGAATCGAACTCACGACTGCCTGCTTGCAAGGCAGGCACTTTTGCCGCTGAGCTAAATCCCCAGCCCCTTGTCTCTACTTTTCTTACCACTCCTCCAAACTATTGGGTGCTTCCTGAGGTACTATAGTTACATCTCCTGCATACCTTTATTTTTAAAATTTTTTTGAGACAGGGTCTTGCTTTGGACTCCTCAGTCTCCTGAGTGCCAGGATGACAGGTGTGCACCACCGCACCTGTATACTTTTATTTATATTCTTTCTTTTACACAGAAAAACATTTTCTCATCCTTTTGCTTTGCAAAGTGTAAATTTTCCTGGGAAAATTAAAACCTGCTTCTCTCCCATGCATGTATCATTGTGAATACACTAAGGACACTGTGTTCTGTGTTCCGAAGGGTGGGGACTATCTTCTACAAACATAGGAAACAACTATGTCCAAACACAGGGTGGATTCAACACCTGCTCACAATTAAGCCTGCATGTGCACCATAAACATTTAACTGCTTAAATAATGCAGACCGATCACTGTTCCTTACCTTAAATTTTAAGGCAGGGGTTTGTGTCACGGATGATGCCTTCAACCCATGCAGCTGTTCTTCTATTTCCCTCAGCCTAGGAAGAGGTAGGAGGTTATTTATAGTCACGTTATAAATCAGCATTCTATTAATCCTTATGCTTATAAAAAAAGATCATAACCCACTACCAATTGCTTATACTAGTAAATGCACTTGCTGTACAACACAGCTACAACAGCTCACAAAACAGTGAGTGAAGACACTTCTCGGCACCTGCTAAGACAGTTTCTCAGTGCTGAGCATGGAAGCCAGGGCCCTGAAGTGGGAGGCAAATGCTTTCCTGCTGAGATGCCCAGCCCAGCTTTCTTTTTCAGTAAAACACTGGGCATTCACAAACACATGTTTTTAAAAACCACATTAAATGGTTAATACTATCTTGTCCATTCTCTTTTTGAAAAATGTGCTTTTCTTTTCCATGCATACAAATTTTAGAGATATTTTCCTTTCAGTGCCTCTTGACCGTCTTTAATCTTTCTGTTATCTACTCATGACAAGCCAGTTCATTCCCTCTATGCTGACGAACCTGAGAATACAATGTTCTGCTTATATTTAATAAATGATGGAACTAAGTACCCCACAAAAGTTACAGCTCATTTGCTAAGCTTTTTTAAAGCAAAGTTTTATGGGGTTTATACATCCTAAGTGCCAAATGTGACAATTTCTTTCAAAACTATCAATTATTTTGCTATTACAATATTTATGAGTCTAGTCTATGATATTGAGTTCCTAAATGAAACCTTCGACAACTTTTTAAGAATAACCAAGACTTTTGAGTAAAAACTCCAGTCAATTAACTTAGCTATTTTTATACTGCCAAACTATCAAGATAAGTGTCTATTTTTTCAGAACTGATCAAATAGACTTGCGTTGGTAAGAGGATGAAGAGGGTACAGGCAACTATGGATGAAGACACAAGTGTAGCAAAGAGTTAACAGTATATCAGGAAGGTCACAAACGAAATAATTACAAAATTGGTTTATAATTATATAACATATATACTTGCTTTTCTAATATGTAAGCAATTCATTTGTCAAGGAAAACAAACATTTTAAAAGATGGGTGGTGCACGCCTGTACTCTGTGCTACTCAGGAGGCTGAGACAGAATCACTTGAGTCCAGGATTTTGAAGACAGCCTGGGCGGTAAAGTAGACCCTGTCTTTAAAAGTTTAGAGTATCTCCTTTAGAGATCAGTAAAACAACAAATGAATACAAACTGGCAAACATTTTCAATAAGGGTTCTGTGCATTGGTTCTGCCTGTAGTTAAGTTTTAGATTTTACTCCTAACAAGCAGTAAGAAAAGACAGAGGAAAACGAAGATAACAAAACTATGTTATGTTACAGGAAAATGAATCTAATTAGCATGGAAATTAACAGTCTCCTGCTTGCTTAGGCATGTCACAAGCAATCTCTTTATCCCCAACAATGTATCAGCTCTGTCCCAGTGGGTCTAGAAACTCCACTAAGATACTTGGTTCTCACCGCTGCTTTGTGACACAGAGCTCATCCAGAAGATGCCGCTCTTCGTAGCTCATCCACCGCTCATCGGGCAGCTCTTCTTCCTTCTGCAGCAGCTGCTCGTACAGCCGAACTGGATTCCAGCCCGTCATTATGTCATAAGTGATTACACATCCCAACGAGTGGGACACTATTGAGACTTTACCCCCTTTTTCTTCGAAGTCTGGATTCCGAGAACAGAAAAGGGAATACAATCGATTCAGCTCTTGCTGAAGGCCTTTAACTAGCTGTTTGAAATAAGAAAATATTATATTAGAGTTATCACTGAGCACTGCAAACTTCACTTCTCAACTCAAAATGTATTAAAAAGAAATGAACATTACCGACCAACTATACCTAGGTTATTAGGATTAATTCAGGGATGAAGGCATACACAGGGTCACAATCCCCACTGTCACACAGAATGTGTAGGTGGACGTTACCCCGTGGTTCCTTTCACAGCCCTTCAGGCAGCTATGAGCCACCAGTTCTAAAGATCAAGGAAAAGCTTCCTCAAAAAGTTCAGAAACTTCTCTAAAGACTCGGTGAAATTTCATTGCGTAGGCAATATTAAATGTTTGCACCTTGCAGTTTTTCTCTTTTTTTGGTACTGGGGATTAAACTCACGATCTAGCACTTGGCAGGCAGGCGTTTATGCCACTGAGCTAAATCTCCGGTCCCCATGTAGTTTTTATTTATAGTAAAATTTAGAAAGTTTCTGAGTTTATAACAGGGACACTAACATACATAGGTACAGTTATGTAAGACATGTATGACCGAAGAAAAAGCAGACATTTATGTACTACCTGTACTGGGATCCTGCCTGAATTTTAAGATATCTTCTTTTCTTTTTTTCCTACTGTTACTTCTAATTGGTTATAAATCTGCCAGATAACTCAGTTTCTCTTATCACTCATTCTGAACATGCCAGCTGCTCCTCTGACACACAAGGGTCATACACTGTTTCTACCTTGGATCTTGTGATTACACTACAAGCCCCCCTCAACTCTCACTCAGAGTTCTTGACCTGCTGACCTAAGTTGGAAGCCACTCCAGAGCTCTACAATGCAAAACCGAGGGTCAGGGCAAAGCCACTGAAGCCATGTGCCACATCTGGTGAGATACGCTCAGCCAAGGCAGAAAGAGACAATAAACTGGTGGCATGTGTCAGGATAAGGTGCCCTTTCTGTAAGGAGGAATATGTGAAGTTTACCTTTATTGGACATTTTATTTTTCCCCTCAGGAAAAGAAAAGGAATTCTGTGCTTCTAGTGCAATGATTCTCCAGTTTTCAGTGTGCATCAGCATCACTGCAGGGCTTGTAATACACAGTTACGGGGCTCCACTGCAGAGCTCCTATCTCAGAAGTTCTGACACAGGACCTGGAAATTCGTATTTACATTTGTGATGATTCTAGAAAACGCAGATGCTGCTAGCCTTGGGACAATTTAGCAGCTACGAATTTAGTGTCAAATGTGTGTACAAACTTCTGAAGACTTGGGGTAGTCACACTGTAGTAAATATAATTTAAGAAGTATGTGGTGTGACACAAAACTACAGGCTCTCCTCAAAAGAAGCTATGATGTAATGCTTTGGATGTGGTTGGCATGAATACCAATGATCCTTATCATGGTATAATTTTCCTCATGTGCAATTCATAGGAAGGAGGGGCTGAAAAAAATACATATACAAAATAATCTGTTTAGAAGGAAGTTTATGGTTGCGGGGGGGGGGGGGGTGTGAGCACGCATGCGCTGTGCTGGGGCTAGAGCCCAGGGCTGTGTGCGCTCCAGCTTTACCCCTCAGCCCCACAGTTTTCACCTTGGAAAGCCTTGCTTTTAAGATTTGTATTACGCAAATCTAGGAGCACTAAGAAGTGTATACTTTAGTACTTTGACACAAAGTTCCTAAACCTTTATATTTTTACATATCAACCTTCAAATTAAAATTTAAAAATAAAAAAAAGTAATTATTGAATCAACCTATTCTGTATTCAAACTAAAAATATCCTTACTGTAACGCAGACTTCATTAATCTGGCAATCACTCACATGGGATAACAGATAAGACAATGAAATATCTCCCCATGGAGCATTGAGAATTTCTAAAGAGCTCATGACCTCACCTGCTTTAACACACTAGAAATGGCTGTTCTATCTGCTTATTAGAATGTACCTTGATGGGGCAGTATTCTGTTATGTCTGCCTGTAGCTTACATGAACAGCAGCATGTTTATGACTTTAAAAGCTGCAAGGTTTAAATTTTTTTTTTTTTAAGTCATGGCTCTGCACATCTCTCTAACCGCTCCACAACTCAGCCACTCAACAGCAAAATGAGAAATCTGCTTCTGTGCTGTATGCAAAAAGCTTGCTCTGGGAATTTTCTCTCCTTTTCCTGCTCCTTTCTAATCCAATTACAGCCTCTTAGCGAGGGTCCCAAGTACACTCATGTGGGACATGTGAGCCATAACTCTGTGACCTTTCTTAGCTCCGCATTATCTAATCAGATCACTGAGTGTTTTACCCGGGGGATACAGAATAACTATTCAAGAATTTAAAGTAGTTTCTAGTTCTTATAACTGCCACTCATGAGCTAAAACGTATGAAGAAGTCAATCAAAGGGAGACAAAAAGCCCAGCAGTTTCAAGAGGGAGCCCAAACACAAATACTGCTGAGGGATATAATCCGGTCTCCTACGTCTTGCTTCAGGAAATTTTAATGAGAAATAGTAGTTTAGCTAATATACATGAGTCAAATAACAAAGACAAGTATGGTCATGGCAGTTATGGCCAATAATTATTTCTCTGCCATTCTTCATCTTTAAAAGTCTTTGAAAAGAGAGTTTAGACGTATAGCTCTCAATTTCTTGTGTTACTTTATTTATGGCTAACGTAAAGGCCAAAGGGTCTGATGATTTTCTGACACTCTAGAATTACGGTTTGGTTTGGTTTTGGTTGCCTTTTTCCTGGTTCTCAAAAGTGTTTGATTCACAAACTTACGCCCTAACCATGGCTTTTCTGTGATTATCGACCAATCACTAGTGAGGGGTCTTCGCACAAGCATCTCAATCTTAGGGTTAAAAGGGCGCACACAGATGATCTAACTGAACTTCTGTGAAGGCGAAGTCCTTTCGAGCATCCCTCGTTTGTGGCAGCGCAGCATCTTCATCCTCAGCGAGTTATCTCATTTTATTTTGAACTCAGGGCCTCACGCGTGCTAAGCAAGGGCTCTACCAGCTGAGCTACCTCCCTTGCTGGAGTCATTCTAAAGTCAGTGTCCACGTCCATCTACTTCTAAAGCAGCTCTGTTTCTACAAAATTCACTACAGGAAACATACTATGTTCCTTCCTGTATTTTGGGTCTCATCTTGTAGTTCAGACTGTCCCTGAACTCACTATATAGCCCATGTTGGCCTCCTGAATGGTAGGATTACAGGTGTGCACCACCATGCCTAGCTTCCCTTTGTATTTCATACTCACTGATCCTTATTATACTTTTGAGTGGAAAAATTGGCTTTTTCCAAATGTGTATGAAACACACCAAACCTGGCTGGTTCACCAGCCAGGCAGGACTTAGTCCTAAGCACCAGTATCCAAGGAAACACATACTTTTCTCTAGGGCACTGGCTCATGCTAACCTCACGTTTAGTGGACTTTCATCTGCACGATCCATTTTTAGTTTTTAAGAATGAGAATCGTTTGTCAGCCTCTTACTCTGTGCCCTTTTGCACCCACAGGCCGAGCTTCCCCGAGGGCCCCACTCACTTAGAATCTCCAGGGGAGAAAACCAGAGAACCACTTTCTCCTGCTTCCTTTTCATTTCAAAATAATTCCAAACTCATAAAATGTCACAGAATAAAGACAGTGTGAAGATGACACGTTTTCTTTATTGAGATCCACTCATTGTTCGTTTTTACCCATCTGCCCTTGTCATCTGTTCTCTCGGTTTCTGACACACCCTCAGCGGTGTGGGAACCCACTCGAGGCTGTGTTACCCCCGACTACAGCACTGTACATTTCCTAGAACCAGGAGTGATCACAGGAGAGTTACCAGCTTCTGAAATTTACACCAATTAACTTAATCTGCCATCTGCATTCCAGCTTTATTGGTCTCCTTTTAGTTTCTCTCACCAGCTCACTACAGCTTTCGGCCTGGGATGGACACTGATTCTCTTTACCCTTTTTAATCTGGAATGTTTCCCATAGCCATTTTTTTCTCTGATGTGAACACAGTTCCATTCTTACTTTCTGACCCTGAGTCCTCATCCCGTGCTTTCCTGATGTTCCCTCACAATGAGAACACTGCACGAGCGATGCCGGGTCCTCCTCCAGGTATTGTTGTCAGGAAGCTCATAATGTCCATCTGTTCCTTAGGGACACCCAGGACAAGGATAGCCGGGTTTCTCCTGTGTACAATTACTGTTTCTCTTTCTTAAACTAATGAACAATCTGCAGGGACACATTTTAAGATCATCCAAAGAGCCTGCTCCTCAGTAATGCAGTATGCACTGGTAAGTCATGCTGTCTTCTCTTACATGATCCTCCAAGGATGGCTGTAAAATGGTTTTCCAACCCCAACATGCTTTCAGTAGTCATCAGCACTCTAGTGTAAGTAAAGGACCTCACTTCTCTCATTTACGTCTCTGTTTATAATTGATATGTATACAATATTTTTAAATGATTTATAACCCATTATTTTATTATTCTTATAAGTACATATTGAAAGTTCCAATAAATTCTTTATAACAATTACAGGCCTTCCTTCTGGGTTAGAATCAGGTCCAGAATAACAGTTCTCCAGTAGCTTCTCTCACATTTGGGGACATGAAGTAGCAGCAAAACAAGTACAGAATATACTGAAGTCATCGCTCACTTCTAGCTGCCCAGGAGGTTACCGTGTTCTTTATTTCAAACCTAGACTAATTCTGTGGGCTGTGGAGAGTATACTACTTCTTCCGTGTGGTTACAGTATTTCTTCACTTCTGCTTTTACTGCATCTTCCTGGTCTCAAACCGTCCTCTGACCAACAGTTCACAGAATCCCAGCAGGAGTGCCTTTCCTCTGCACCTATGCTACGTGACTTCTACAGGCTGGCAGAGATGATGGCATGGTTTGAAGTGCTTATGGGACAGCAACATCTGGATCTCAGGGGGCAGCTAAATAAAATATACATTCTGGAGTGCTGAAAGGTTCGTGTGAGACACACTTACAGTAGAACACAAAGCAAGGAGGTATGGCAGAACTTGCCATGCCTTTCTTCCCCTTTTGTTTCTCACTGCTGCAAATCAGATCAGTGCAAACTTTGCAAAATACTGGCATAGAAGGGACAGAGAAAACTCCAATAAAATAGCAACCAGGAGAGAAAGTTTCTATGGTAACCAACCAACCAGATTTCTGACAATAGGTAAAAGTTGTGCTGAACGATACCAATGGATGGCTCTGAATAAACAAAATTAGAAGTGGATTTATTTGAGCAGTGCAGAGCAGCTCTGCTGGAAAGTTTTATTCATTCTGTGGAACATCAATCATCTATGCTTTTAATAAGGAAAACCCAACTGAATGTATTTATTTTGCGGCACTAGGGACTAAACTTAGGGCTTTTATACTGAGTTACTATTGAGCTCTCTCTCTCTTTCTCTCTCTCTCTCACAGAATTATGCCTTTTCTCCTTGCTTTGCCAATCAGGCAGGCTGAGTGCTTTGCCTTTTGGTGATCACTCATGGAGACCAAATCCCATATCCTCATCTGAGTCCTCTGACTCTTCCTTGTTTTAACCTTGACTGGGGGTGGCTGCAGAGGCAGGAGCAGCAGTGGTGGCTGCAGTGACGCGGCAGTAGCCACAAATGCTGATGGATCAGCCAGGAAGGCCTTGATCTTTTCAGCAAGTGGGAAAGTATGATCAGTCTCCACAGACAAAGCCAGGACCCGCTTGTACTCTTTGATGATAGAAGGGGGCACTGATGTGACAGTTGTGTAACTATCTACAAACAGTAGCCACATTGCAGACACCCTCCAGAAGCGAGAAAGCAGTTTCCTCTGCAGTGTCAAGCAAGCACTTCAGGGTTTGCAGCTGTCAAACACCTGCTGAATGACCAGGCCAAAGGACAAAGGGGAGATATTCATTATGTCCAGGAGGGTGGTCTTGCTGGCTCCCACTTTGTCTCTAGTCTTAATCAGCTGTGTTATCATTCAGGATTTCAATGGTGCCCCTGAGATTTTGGTGGTGATACCCAGAGCCAGGAAGGAGGTCCTCTCAGGCCCCGGACCAGTATTTGGGGTGGCACGGTGACTTTGCATGGTGCAATGGCACCAGCACAGGTAGCAGCTGGTACCTTGTTGGCCTGCAGTGTATCCCCAATCTCAGGGAGGGCCTCCTTGGTGAACACAGAGCCCATCTTCTCCTGGATATGATGCAACAGCTTCCCCAGAGCTGGGCTGCTCTCCAAATGCCCTCGGGTGGCCCTGTGCATCACGGTGTCCTTGCCCGTCAGCACCACAGCCTCCCTTGCAGGGACACGTGGATCGGCTGCTCTGTCTGGAGCCCACACTATCGGCTCCCACAATCAGCATTTTTGGATGTGATCTGAAGAAAGGACTTGGATTTCCAGGTCACCTGGTCTTCCCTGGTCATCATGTGGTGCGTCAGAGATTGCCACGAAAGGTTTGAAGATGATGTCACTCACTGGGATGCCTGGAAAAAGCCTACTGAGCTTTTTAAAAAAAGTTCTCATATTGGGACAGGGTCTTGCTAAGTCACTAAGTAACCCAGGCTGGGTTCAAACTTGGGATCCTCCCACCTCAGTCTCTCAGAGTGCTGAGACCATAGGAACGCGCTACCATGTCTGGCAAAATCCCAGTTTGAGAAGGAATAAAGTCAATAGCTCATATAATTTTTTTTTTTTTTGCTGACTGAAGTTTTGAATTATTAGCACATTTTGGTAGTACTATATACAACACTTGAAATTAATCCACAGCCTAATATATAAACTTTGAATTGGACAAAGTCCTCAGTCTCATCAGAAACAGGGTGTTTTTTTTTTTTTTTTTGGTCTTTTTCCTTTTTATCGGTACCAGGGATCGAACTCACGACTGCCTGCTTGCAAGGCAGGCGCTTATGCCGCTGAGCTAAATCCTCAGCCCCTTTAAATTCTTTGTGGGTTTTTTTTTTTTTTTTTTTGGTCTAGAAACAGGGTGAAGACATACCCACCGACAATGAGGAGCTGTGCAGAAAGGGTTTACTGAGAACAGCACAGACCCCAGGGAACAAAGAAGGACTGTATTTTTTGCCCGAAGTGGGCTGAACAATTTTCTGACCTTTTGGAAAGTAATTCTTCGTTTTTCAAGTAGGTCAAAGGAATGTTTGAGCTTTGCTATTTTGATGCTGAAACTGAAAAGCACTGTCTTTGACAGGTAATTTGCAGAGGCTCTCACTGTAGCAGCAAATGTTTCCAAATTTTCTCCTTGCCAAGGTCCTTTCTGGGTCCTGGGGTCAAATTTTGATTCAAGGAAACAACTCTGGTCAAAATTTTAATTGGAGGGGCTGGGGATTTAGCTCAGCAGCATAAGCGCCTGCCTTGCAAGCAGGCAGTCGTGAGTTTGATCCCTGGTACCAATAAAAACGAAAAAGACAAAAAAAAAAAAATTTAACTGAAACTTTGATGCTCTAGCCATAGACAGTCAAATAACTTATGACCTCTACCCTGTCCACCTTGTACCACAGTCGCCTCTCAAACAGCGGCTCCTCCTGCGGTCCTCATCTGCACACCACAGGCCAGCCTGGACTCTGCTCCTGCTCCCTTGCGATTGCCAGCACCCAGCTTCCGGAGCGCTGGGCAGCTCCTGCTCTTACTCTCAGTCTCTGCAAGGAATGGCCTCTCTTCCCCTGCCTGCCTTCTCTGAAAATGGGTGCGATCCCTTCTCTTGCTCGGCTGGTGATCTTCTTACCTCCCTCCCTTTTTTCCTGTGTCCTTCTCCCCCTGCCTGCACACGGCCCGATACCCCTCCCTCAGAGATCTGGCTGGGTCCCTTTTATCTCAACACCCTACATTCCCTCTCTGGACAACTGCATTTCAAAAAAATCTATGACTTTTGTATAATCTTGAAAGCATCTATCTGAAGTTCTATCGCCAGGGTCCATTCCAGTCTAAGTTTTCTGAAGTCAGAAATACTTTTAGATTAAAAATACTGATAAAAGAAAACTCCCACAGAAACATCAAACACTCCCTTCTTCTATGAAAGTGGGGCGTCTGCAGACAGCAGCTGGTCTGCTTCTCCCCTGGAGATTCTGCTTGGGATGCAGCAGCTATAGCAACCTGACATTGTAGGAACTGTCAGAGAAGTTCCTAAAGACAACTGCTGTCTGCTGCATGTTAATGGAAGCAATGTCTCAGTTAATCCTTATGAGACCCTGCTACGAGATAGTTACTGTTAGAATCCACACTACCCATTCTGCAGATGCAGAAGTCACAGAAAGTATTGTTACATGGGGCCTGGAATCAAGCAGTCTGTGCCTATGGTCTGTATAGAATTTGCATTAAACAATTCCTATTGCATGCTTTTAGAAAAAAATAGAATTATGATTAAGATTTAATACAAATGTAAATTTATCTTAAGTATTATAACAATGAGCCTAAAATATTTTTTTCAAGGGGTTAAGAACAATTTTGAATATTTCCAGGAACTTTTTTCCTCTGGCACAGTTCATGAATGTGTGTGTATGCACTGTAATGCACTGTTTTAAACATTTTTGAGGGTGGCGACTCTGGCTTACTAGTCTCTTATACATAATAAAGTGTTCTTAAATAAACATGTAAATACTTTCCTTACTTCACAGCACCTTTTACTAGCTGATCTGGGTCTGTACAGTCAGACCTTACCTGAGTCCTCCTGAAGGAATTTTATCACAGCATCTGGTTTTACTTCTGTCCACCTCTACGACTTCTCCCCGCCACTCCCCTAATGGAGGGGAGCAGTGTACAGTGAGGCGGCCCGAAGGCAGCCAGCACGTGGCAGAGTGGGCGCTCACTGATTAAACACAGGCCTAAGGACGTACGGTGCTGGCCCCAGGGTTGCCGTGCTGTGACACGGGAGCAGCTGTGTGGAGAGCACGGGCCCTGGTAAGCCCTGTGGCAGGTCCCTGCCCACCCTGCCATCAGGGCTCTCACGCGTTAAGACAGGACATTTCACAGGGTTCTGACGAGCACCGGGCAAGCTGACACATGTTAGGCAGTCAACAAACGAGCCCCCTAAACATCTTTCAACTCTTTCTAACAAAATGCAGACACCTCTTGGGAGAGCCTCCCACCCTGTAGAGTGCACCTTCACCCTGCACCCTCTTCCTTGTTCTCCAAGTGATTCACCTGCAATGTGACCAACAGAAGCCAGGCAACACAGATTGTTACACACAATGATATGAAGGAAAATTCTAAGTGGCTAAAACTCTTGCGAGAACAACAAAGTCAGGGATGCAATTAATGCAATTTATAAAAATTGGTATTTTAATTTTATTTTTGGTACCAGGGATTGAACTCACAGTTTTGCGCTTGCTAGGCAGGCGCTTACACCACTGAGCTAAATCCCAGGCCCAAAAAACTGGTATTTTTTTAAAAACTATTTTCTAACCAATACCCCACTCATGAGATCACCTAACCAAATTCACTATTAAACACTGGCTACTTCTATACATTAGCAGAGTCCTGTAGCTTCTCACCTGCTTTTTAAAAAGAACATAAAATGTGAAAGTTCAAGGAATTTACATGCTATAAAACATATCTTTCAGCAACAAGATAATCATGATACTTACTTCATCTCTATACAGTGGGCTAGTATAATACATTATATCCATGGCACTGCTGTTCAGCATGTCCCTCAAACCCCGTACTTTGTCAGGAGTAATGGAATCAACCGTGTCTACAAACACAGAGTAAAATTAAATTTACTTAAGATCCTTATTTTGGGAACTGTGAAAAAAATTGTATTTCCTAAAATAATTTAACATTTAAATGTTCAAGGCCTGCTTTGGCTCTAATGGACCTTTTCTTCTTGTGAATTCTTGCAAAAACAAACAAACAAACAAACCCCTATAGAACACAAAACAGTAGAAGACAAAAGGGAACATGAAAAGAAAAGAACAATAAAGCATAGAAGAAGGGCATCAATTTTTTCAGAGTCATGGATACTGGGGCTGTCAATACCCATGTGGTGTGCCGGAGAGCAGTAACAGCAGATCAGCAACAAATTAAAATAGAATGATAAGAGCTGTTACATTAATACTTGAAAGTACAATGAGGCAGAAGGCTCATAATTTTAATCAACTGCAAATTTGGCAACTTTTCACTGCATTGGCTTAGGTTATTTTATTTCCCACTTTAATAAAATGAGGGTTGGAAGCAAAGGATAAGAAAAGTCTTCAAAGAAGTAAGGAACTATTATAGCTATCCACAGGCCTTACAACTTGTTTTGCAATACACAGTGAATATTTCCTCTTCTCTTGTCTGGCCTTTGCTTGTTCTTACATTGCTTTGCTGTAACATCAAAGCATGGTTTGCCTTCCATTCCTTGGTGTTCTACGATCTACTGATACAGAGGTGTTTTTATTTGTTTGTTTTGTTTTGTTGCAGCATTGAGGATGGACTCAAGGCCTTGCTCATGCTAGGCAACTGCTCTATCACTGAGTCACATCCTTCCCCCAACTCTTTTCAATTTTAATTTTGACACAGGGCCTTGCTAAATTACCTGGGCTGAATTTGAACTTGTGACCATTCTGCTTCAGCCTCCTGAGTGTTTTGATTACAGGAATGCGCTGCCAGAGGTCCTTAGTCTTACTCCAATCAAACTTACCCACTTTACTTTTAATTGTTTTGATGTTTTAAGAAATCGTTCCATACTCTGAGATCATAAATGTGCTCTCTTGAGTATTTTTTCTCAAACGCTCTGGTCTTAGCTTTCATATATTACTATGTCTTTGATTCACCTTGTACTTAAAATTGGGATCATTCTTCACTTTCCCCCCATAGGATGATCAGTTACCAAGTGTAGAATAATCTAAAGTAAAGAGCATACCTCACGACAATGAAATTGAAGACACTGTTCCAACTGGGTGAAAGGTGTTCGTAAAAATTTCTACATTTACTTTGGTAAAATTTTGCTATTGGTTAAATCATTCAATTTTAAAAGAGACTATACCTCCATCAAGAGTAAGTTTTGACCGCCACTCAACAGGGAGAAATTCGACGTGTGTTGCATGGTTGGAAAAATGCCTTTCTTCTATTTTTCTTGCAGCCTCTCTCATCCTAAAAAATAAAATTAATAATAAAAGCAAAAACAAACAAGAAAACCTTTGAAAGTATCTTCATGTATGTAGTAGTACTTCCATTTGTCTACAATTCTGTCCAATTATATTTCAATTACTGCTACACTAAGCAAGTTTGCAATGCCAGGACATCTTCCAAGTTATTTTCCTAACTCTTCTATCGATGATTCCAAATAGTTTCTGTATAAACTGAGATACGATTCATCTAAAGGTAGGTTATGTTAAACTCTTCCCTTTTTACTAACAGCTCTTAAAACAGTTGCTACGTTTTATACATTTTGATGATTCAGTAGGCTTTGTAAAGTTACTGTAGTGAAACGCCTGGGACAGGTTAGGTTGTAAAGAAGAGGCTGCCCTGGCTCATGGTTCTGGACACACAAGGTTGAGAGGTCAAATAGATTTAATTACATTTTCTTTTAAAATTTTTGCAGTTTTAGCTCTTACACGTAGCTCTTTGATTCATTTTAAATTAACTTTTCTGTACTGTGTGAGGTAGGAGTCCAACGTCATCTTTTAACATATGAATATTCAGTTGTCCCAGCTCCATTTATCAAAAAGACCATTAAATTGTTTTGGGAGTGAAAAAATAAATTTGAACTCTCAACTAATAATCTGAGAACAATGCCATATTGACAATATTAAGTTCTCTAGTCCACATACATAGGATGCCCTCCCCATTGACTCTGGTCTTAAATGTCTGTCAACATACAAATCTTGTACTTTTGTTGTTCAACTTATTCCTAAGTATTTTATTCTTTCTGATACTATAGTAAAAAGAACTTATTTTTTAATTTCATTTCATTTCCAAGTTGTTTATTGCTAATAAACATAACCTTTTTTGTATGTGACTTTTTATCCTGCAAATTGATGAAATTATTAACTCTCACATGTCTGATTGATCTATTTTATCTCTCACCTTTCTTAGGATTTTCTACATATAAGGTTATGTTATCAGCAAGCAGAAGTAGTTTTACTTTTTTTTAACTAGAATGCCTTTTTTTCTCTTCCTTGCATAATTGCCTTGACTCACACACAAAGCACAATGTTGAACAGAAGTGGTGTTCAAAGATCCTTGTCTTAGTCCGATCTTTGGAAAAAGCCTTTGGTCTTTCACCATTGAAGTATGACTTCAGCTGATGGCCTTCTGTAGATTGCCTTTCATGGGCTGAGATGGTTCCTTTCTGTTTCTATCTGCTGAGTGTTTTTATTGTGAAAGGGCATTGTATTTTCGTCAAATGGTTTTCCTGCATCAAAAATAACATGATGTGCTTTTGCTTCATTTTATTAATCAATATATTTAAGTAATATATTTTTAGCGAAGAAAATTTAGGGACATAGTCACAACATGTCCATTTTGTCTCTCAACTATTTGCTTTGTCCTCTCTCATTCCCCATCTTCTTACATCTTCTATTTCTTTCTTTTCTTAAGAAGTCACTTCAGTTAACGTTGCATTCTTTGGATAAATCCCACTAATCATGGTGCTTAAAACTTTTTTTATGTATTGCTGGTCTCATTTGTAAGATATTAGACCCCTCCCACCCCCATGAATGCCTTTTCAGTATCGGAGCAACACTGGCTACATAGGATGAGTTGGAAAATCTCTGGAGAGTTTGGAACAAATCAATGCTAATTCTTTTAATGTTTGGGAGCATTCACCAGAGTAGTCGTCTGGTTTTGGAATTTTTTAGTGGATTGTTTTTAATATTAATTCAAATGCTTTACTTTTTATAATTCTAGTTAGATTTTCCATGCCTTCAAACTCATTGCCAAATTAATTGTGGTAGTTTGTGTACTTTTTAGGAATTTGTGTATCTAAATTATTTAGTTCATGACCACAGAACTGTGTATAATACTAGCTTTTAATCCTTGTTATTTCTATGAGGTTGGTAGTTAATAGTTTTCTTATTCTTGATTTTAATAACTTTGGTTTATTATTATTTTCTTGGTGAGTATAGCTAAAGGTTTCTCAATTTTGTAGATATTTTCAAAGAATCACAGTAATACAAAGAGATTTTCCTCATTTTGTTTTACAACTGATAAATACATCTTCATATACACAATGGCAATATAATAAAAGATGATAAGATTTATTTTTTAAATATATAGGTCTTGACTGCACAAGAAGCAGACCAACAAAGGACAGAGTAAAATGAGAAAATGAAGTAATTTAAAAATATTACACTGTAGCTCCAACTAAAACAAATCACAGTGTTGGAATAATATGCTGAAGAATCATGATTTTTAGTTGCTATAAGCTTATTCTACTTTCCAAGTTATCTTGCCAGCCCATGAATGCTTTGTTTATTATTTAGAAAAGTAAGAGATTTTTAGCACTCGGGAAGTATTGTCTAACTAAGGGTACATAAATGGCTGTGAAGAAAAAAATGACATTTGTGTGATGTTTATTGTACACACACACCCAGGAAGAAAATAGGAAATCATGAAAAGTAATCTTCCACAGCATGTACATTTTTTAACAAAAATAAAGGTCTGTAAGTTTACAGTTTATACCTACTATGTAAAAAATGTCTATGTGCCTAAAGAAAATATGTCAGAGTTTAAAATGTGAAATAAGAACAAAGAGTAATGGGGAAGAGGAGACTGGAATGAGAATCAGCCTTTTCACGCTATGTAATTTTTTCTTTTGATTTATAAACTATGTGCATTTTTTATTTGAAGTTTTATTGACATTCTTGTCTGTTACTGTTTCCCATCTTTTTCTTAGTACTTAGGGATTTATGTTCTTTATTTTGAAAATTCCTTTGTTAGCATTTTTATTGACATTTCAGGAGGTTTGAGATAAATTTTTTTTTATTGGTACTGGGAATCAAACTCACAACTGCCTGCTTGCAAGGCAGGTGCTTATGCCGCTGAGCTAAATCCCCAGCCCTGGTATGAGACGAATTTATATACTCAACCAATCATGTTTAACTGAAATTCCCTTCACAGTGTTAAAACTATTGCTTCAAATGACTAATTTAAGGCATTAGATACACAGCTTCAGTGAAGATTTCTTGGAATAAAACTCTATTAAATGTAAACTCAATTGTATTTAAAACACATTCATCCCTTCTGTGAACCAATTCTGACCTTTCCAGAAGTTGTCTATAAACTTCTTTCTCAATCTATGTGGATAATAAGAATATTTTGTTACAACAAAAGTGATTAAAACCAGTCTGAATTAATTTGCAGGATCACTAAAACAGGGAGGGGAAAAATGTGTAATGCCATGCATTTGAGACATAACTTCAAGAATCCTTATGAGAACAAAAGGTCGCCACTGGAGGGGAGGACAGACAGAAACCTATCTTAGCTACCGTCACACATCAAATCACAAGTACATATAAGCTTCAGAAAGCAGGGATAAAGAAGTTAATTTTATTCTTTTTTCTCAAATGTAGAAGTGGTAGAAAAAGGGAAAGGTAAATATTCTGGATGTTCTATTGAACAGAATTTCTTTTTGTGTGAAAAATTTCTATCAACTTCTAAGTTACATAGGGAATTTTCCACCAAATTTATCTGTCTCTGAAGAAACGGTAATAACCCTCCTCGCAGTGGACACATTTTTGAGCCACCTTAGGTTCATTCATCCCACTTCTTATTCTTATGTGTGGCTTTACCTCTCCTTACTGTCATGATGATGTCAACTCACTCACACCTGATTTCTGGGGTGGGATCATGACAGCTGCTCAGTAGATCTGTGCGGCTGCGGTATGGAACTCATGTACTTAGATGCAGCACTATCACTCTCTGAAAGGCAGACGGCCTGGGCATTTGGGAAGAAAGACTAATCTTTTCCTGTGGATTTGAACACAAGATGCTACAGGCTGTCACCTCTGGACCCACGGGCTGTAGCTGGGGGTTCCACCATGAAGGCGGGTGGGGCCGATAGCGTTCTGCTGACTGTCAGATCACTTCCAGAGTTCTCAGTACTGTGTTGAGTCACCAAGCTTAAGACTTTCGTATTGTTTTCCCTTTCTTACACCCGAAGAACAAACTAACATCTCCTCATTTATTAGTGACTCGGAGACAAGGCCAGCAAATGTACTCTCAGGATCCGATATATCTAAGCAAAAGATCTGCATCTTGGTATCAGGGAATTACTACAGGAATTAAGAAGGATCAAAAGAAAGAGATTCCTATAACAGGAGCTATGGGGATCAAAAAGGGTAACTTTGCATTATCTAACAAAAATTTTTTTTAAAGTTCTTTCATACTTTTAATTTAACCCTCAGGTGATATTACGCTATTACGATAAAAAGTGCAACAATACTCAACGTTATTTTATTATAGATGTTGTTGAAGTCATGCATTATTTGCTTTACAAAACTTAAAGAAACTTTTACTTGAAGACTCAAAATCAGATAAATTGTTTCTCAGTAGTAACTCATTTGTTCTTATTGTAAATCTGTACCTGATTAGATTTTTCTTCATTCTGGCTATTAGCTCATAGTGAAATTCATGATGGACTTTTACTCTAACATTCCTTTTTGCATCAAATTTAACAATTTAGAAATATCTATCAGTCCATCCATCCATTCATCTACCTCCCAGTAACATCTTAAAGAGGTTTTGGCATCAAAAGGAATATAAGTTAATTAATGAGCTAACTAACCTGCCTGGTGTTCCATTGTTTTCTGCATAAAACTTCAGAGTTCATTTTCCCCTGCTAGAAATTAATTGGACAAGTTAAGCTACTAACTGGTAGTTTAAACAATTCTTAGCTTTTAGAGTTTTGTAACTCAGTTTCTGAAGTTCAGAGCATAAGATACAAATTTAAAACTCTTTTTCTTGCTTTCTGTCCTAGAAAGGGCTTATCAGCCTCTCCTTCACACAGGTATGGTGGTGGAATCATCATTATCATCATCTAGATACTCTCACTCTTCAAATTTGGTCCAGAAATTTGACTATGAGAAGAGTTGGCATTGGAGAAAAGGCAGCAGAACAAGCGAACTCTGTCAATCTCTCTCATCTCCTAGACAAAGGATGAATTTCAGACAGGTTGTAGGATGTATGCACCAAAGAACTCACATGGCTGTATTTTTGATAATTCTTCCTTGGTCCATTTTCTGCCCGATGCCATGTACAACGAACACAATGTGGGTGGTCTGCGAAGGCTTGTCTTCCAACGTGGCTTCTTCCACGTAACCTCTATGGAGTCTGGTCCCGCTACTTGATGCTGTGGAAAAATGATGACTCCAAGTTTAAATTTTGGAGAAGCAGCACTTTCATAATGTTTTTTAAAAATTAGCAGTGAGAATCTAAAGAATGAATTTACTTGGGGAAGAGAGGAGGAAATAAAATTTGTAAGACAATGTATTTGATTGGCTGACACAAAGAGAACCGGAGATGAGAGCAAGACCAGACACTACCAGGAAGAAGAAAAAGGAAGACAAACAATACATAAAAACGATGTCTCTTAAAAAATACCATAGCCAAAAATAAAAGACAAACAGCAAACTGGAAAAAATTATATAAAATACACAAAGCAGCCTACTATGCAAAAAGTAAAAAGACAACTATTCAAATAGCAAAATGGGTTAAAGATGAGGCAAGGTAATTCACAAAACATTCAAGTACTAATAACTGTCTAAAAGAGATCCAAGCACATTCATTATAAAAATTAAGATATTAATGGAGTGGTAAAAGCTTATCAGTTAAAGCTGTTTTCTGATGCTGCTTTCCTGTCTTCTGAGGTACCACACTCTCCTGTCTTTCCCTGCTCTCATTTCCTCACCTTCTAGTTATGCTTCAGCCCATCCCAATCTGGTTTCTGCTCCAAAAATTCAAGTCACCAGTGACCCTCATGTCACTAAATACAACAGAGAAATTTCAGTCTTTATCTTCCTTGACATATTTTGATTGCTATGCTTTATTTTTCTGCTTTAGCACTGAGTGTTTAATGCTTTTACAAGTATAAAAGATACTTAGGAATCTCATCAGATCGTTCTGTATATTCATGGACAGATACACATCAGTTCAATTTCCTTAATACAAGTTTCATTTAACAGACTGCCTATCACTAAATATGATACCTACTTAACACACACTAAAAGTTAAGTCTATCTTGAACAGAAGAAAAAAACATTCTCCACATTTTGACAAAACTTTGTAATACTTAACAATTTACCTTTAGAAAATCCCAGTTTTTGGGTAACCGTTCTTGCAATTTTAGATGTTGTCGCATCGCTGTACAGATATACCTCGTCCACGCTGTGCCAGTCCACGTGGTTCCGGCTCAGCTTGAAACTGTGAATAGCTGTCGCAAAAGAGAAACTTTTGAAGGTCTCTACAATAAGCTTCACTGTGTGCAAAATTATAACATTTGGATCTCTGAATCAAAGTTACCTACCAATTCAGATATACAACTCAGTTCAATGGGAAAACTATCTCATTAAAAAAACATAACAAAACCTTTGTCAAGTAAATAATGGGCAGGTTCTTAAAACTGATTAATCATGCTACAGGAAATGACAGCTTCTTTAAATAATGTAGAATAAATGGTGACTCTACCACAATTTGACTTCTAATACATAGCTAATGTGTTTTGATTATTAAAGAACCGGGTTTCCAGGTGACATGACTCTTCCTTAGGTCTGGGAGAGAATACACCTATTTGAAAGTTTGTAATAAGTTTGACAGAGAAACACCCCATTTTTGTTCTCTAGATTTCACTATAAATAAAAGAAAAAATAAAAATTGTACTTGGTGCAAGATAAAACAAGAATGTGGGAAGAGGATTATCTGTTGGGAATACAGGGTATTTTGGGACCAAATATTAAAGTCAATTATTGGGCCAGGGATTTAGCTAAGTGGCCGAAGGGGCTGCCTGGCAAGCGGGATCCCAGGACCACAAAAAAAAAAAAAAAAAAAAAAATCAGTTATCACTAGATATTGCTCACTGCAGTAGAAACCCAAAAGTAAAACAGGTTTTAATAAACAAACTAAAATTTTTTCTATCATGTATTCAAGTCAGTATGTTTAATACATTTTTGTAACTAGAGTTACATTTGGTGCAAATGAATTTAAAATAAAAAAATTCAAAGCTATACCCTTCCCCAATTCATAAGCTCTATGAGGCAGGGGCTACTTTTTGATCATTTTTGTATCCTTGGTACCCAATAGTATATTAACAGTCTACAGGCACATGGCTAAGTTTTCTGATTTGAAATAACCTCAAATTAAATATAAAAATACATAGCCCTAGTCAAGGTTTCAAATAATAGGGGTATGTATAAAAACCTAATTCCTAGTAGAATAAACAGTACACTATGAGAAAACATGCTTCTTAGTTATATAATTTCAAAAATGTGTAAAAGACCAATTTTTATTTTACTTACTTGCCAGGACACATGACTGACACAGAACACAAGACCAACATTCAATTAGCACAATAAATAATACTATCAGCTCCACAAAAAACAATGTACAAGGTCAGCTTTCTAAATAAAAAATCTTTTGAAAACTCTTGCGAGGGTTTAACATTTATTTCTCAACCACATTCTTGTTAAAATAATTTTAAGCCTAAAAGATTAAGACTGTAAGATTGAGATAGTTAGAGAATGGTATTGAGTCAGAAAAATGTTGCCCCTTCTTAAATTTCCCACACACTGCTTAAAGTAAGACCTCTTAATATTGGTGCATATCTCACTACTGGACCATACACACAGTTTACAGATGTTTATATACCTGTATAATACACAATCCTATGCGTATGGGCCAGACTTTCTAAAATACTCGTTATTTTAATATTTTAAACACAAGGAGTGCTGCAAACTGGGAAAGTAACTACACAGAGAAATAAAACTACAATTACTGTACCTTGGGAACGCTTTCGTTTAAGACCTGCGGCATCTGAGCTCTCCTTATATCCTCTCCATTTGAAGAGAGAAGGGAGGGAGAAGGGAGGGAGGTGGTAGGCAACTAAGAAAGCAAAAACACTGAGCTTCAAAGCACATGTAAATGAGGCTTCTTCCACTTCAGCTTTCTGTTCTAGCATTGACTCAAAAAATGACTTGTATTTGACAAACATTATTCTAAATGCTTCATTTACAGAAGATCTAGCTAAAAAGCAGTAAAGCAAAACGTTAGCTTAATGTTTATCAAATATACGCTCTACTTTGACCAAAAGAAACAAAGGCAAATATTTAAAATTTTCAGTTACAGATAATTCTGTGATCGCCATTTGTGTGTTTGCATAGATAACATTAAAAATAGAATGCAGCATTTTTACAACACAAAGGTTATTTACTTTCACCAAATTTGTGATTATTACAGCCAACAGAGGCGTACAAATTCAGAACGCAATAAAAACATTAAATGGAGCTTGTCTAAGATACCACAATATACATTCTACAGGATGCTTCCTAATATAGAATCAGATAATCTTCCCACAACTCTTTTTGTTTTGGAGACAGAGTCTTGCTATGGTGTGCAGGGGGGCTTTGAACTTGCTTACGTAGGCCAGGCTGGCCTCAAATTCATGGTGATCCTCCTGCCTCAACCTCACGAGTGCTGGGATTACAGGCATTCGCCACCATGCCCGGCTCTTTCACAACTCTATTCAAGTTGTTCAAAGACTTTAACAAACCAAGTATACAAAGCAAAAATTAAATTGGAAGCTTTACTTTTAGCTAACCTTTGGAAAAATGGCAGTAAAATATAAAGAAGGTCACTGTAAAAATGTATGTTGTGGTACCTTATAAGAATAAAACAGGCAACATAGAGCGAAGTCAGGCCTGATATCTAGCAAGTCAGTAGATAACCTTAAAGTCAATATGTTATTGGTCAAATTTTGCTAGTTACATATCAATAAATTTGTATTTTAAGTACGTTATTAAGTCCACTTGAAATTGAACCCTACAAATGTTTATTAAATCAGTTACTAAACACATTTAGAACTTACATGACTTAAACTTTATGTTCTAATACATTTGATTTTCATCTTCAATCTCTTCTACATTATATTTGACATTCAAAGGTTAAATACTGCTTACATGCAAAAATCTTTAATTCCTGCTGTATAAAAATTTGTTGCATATACAGGTGAAATATACACAAATATCTGTGCAACAAGGATATTTAGGAAATGCTTATGAGGTAATACTACCTACGCTTATATACTTAATGACTACACCTATATGCGATTAGGTTGCTCTAAGAACTACAGAGGACTAAAAGCTGGGCTGCTACATTTGAGTTCTAAAAAAAGATTTCAATGTCACAGAGATAAAAAATGACATTTGAAGCAGTTTTCTTCACTGAAATGTTTCTTCTTTCATGTGCCTTCTGGTCAGTTATTCAGGAGTAGATGCACCACTTAGGCCAGGAAACAGTTTCAAACAAAGCATGCATTAGGAACACCTGCTAACACACCAAAGTAGATCAAACTGACTTAAACCGGAGACTTGAGAGTTTACTACACAGAGAAACAAAAACATGCAAAACACAAACCAAATTCCAACTAATGGAAAGCAGGGACCACTGTACCACCTTTTAAAATTATGCAAACACTTTTAGATACCTCTTAGTATCTTGTGTTTCCATTCTGTCCTTGAGGTCTGAGACCCTCTCGCCACACTGGTCACCTCTGCTGTTCATGTAGTCAGTACAATTCTCTATGTCTGGGATTTGTCTGGTATGTTTTTAGTCTATTTCTTTGATAAGTTTATCATTCATATTTTCAATAGTTCGGGTCTCTTCTATTGCTGCTTTTTGTTGTTGTTTCTTTTGTAATCACATTGGTCAATTTGTTAGCTCCATTATTTTTTGGGTTGTGTCACCTTTGAATTCACTGAGTTTCTTTGCTTCCTCTTTAATCACTTCATGAGGCTCAACTATTCAGTGTTTGAGTTCCTCTCCACGGTTGCCCCTTGCATCTGCTTTGGGCAAGTTGAGAGTTTTTAGATGCATTTTGCTGCCTTATTTTTTAATGTTCCTGTGTGTGCACAAAAGACTGGGTCTAATGAAGACAATTCGTTACTGGTACGAAGAGCTTTTTAGTTAGGTTCTGCTTCCCAGTGATGTGTTCCCAGCTTTGCCAACCCCTTCACCCTACTCAGACTAACTGGGAGGGACCCAACCCCTGGGCTGTAGGGAGAATACTCCTACAGCCACAGGTCCAGCCCTGTATCAGTCATAAACATTAATACTCATTTTGACACTTCTGCCCCTTTACCAGTGCTCCTTACAGACGGTATTTTACTGTTATAGGTGGTGAGTCTGGGATGTGGGAAAAAGGAAAAAGAAGGGAAAGTCAGTAGGAGAGGAAGATAAGAGCAATTTTAATAGGTAAAATTTAGATAGTTAGACTCTGTTGGTGGTATTTTTAGAGCTGGAGTAAAGGGTGAGGGTTAAGGAGGTTTACCAGAGCATTTGTAGAGGCGGGGGAGGAAGGCATAACTGAGGTTAGGGATGCTGCTGGAACCTGTTAAAGATGGTATCTGTGGTTAGCCCTGAACCCTGCACACACAGTAGGGCTCACCCCGCCATGCCCACATGGTGTCATTCAAGTGCAGGTTCTGATCTGTTCTGCCCTCTTCAGCACACACACAGGTGCCTGCTCTGTATATACTTCATGGAAGGTGGAGAAGCAGTGAGGGAAGGCAGGGAAATAAGTAAACTGAAGAAGACTGAATAGAATCCGGGGCAAGAAGGTTTAAAAGGAGAAGAGACCAGGAGAAAAAAAGGAGCCTGCCAACGGGAGGGTGGTGTGGCTTGGCTAGTGGCTGGCTGCCCTCCCCCTTGGCTCTCCCTTGTACCCTGGAGTCTAGGACAGTTTGCTCCAGTGTCTCCCTGGTGATCGAACCTTCACTCTCCACATGATGCAGCCATAAAGTCAGTGCAGTGCTCTTCCCACTCTGCCACTTCAGATGACTCTGTGGCCTTTCTGAAGGAGGAAGGGGGCATCTGCAGCGGTTAAGGTAGGAGGAGAGGGATCTGGTGCTCCCAACATTAGCAGCAAAGCTCCCACCTCCTGGTTTAGCTGAGGAGGGCGCCCTCCTGTGTGCTGACTCGGTATTGCAGCACGAAGTTGCCACTAAACAATATTCATGTATTAACTATTATTTTATTAATTTGTTATAAAATTTTGTTTTACTTTTTCTCCATTAAAAAAAAGTAAAGACTCTCCTGGTGTTCCTATATACCTGCTCGAGACTTCTTGGGTAGCATGCACTTCAAAAGTGCTGTACATCTACTTGAGATTTTTATCCTGTGTAGTGTAGACAGAGTGGTTGTTTCCAAAGAAAGAGCAATAAACACCAAGAGCTGTTAACACCAAGGAATTGCAGACACCAGCACCCAGAGAAGATCAGTGGCAGACAGCAAGATTTGGTAGAGATGGCCTATGGTGTCCAGCATGAGACAACCCCTGAGGGTGGCAGAGACCAACACCTGGCACAGGTGACTTGTGGTGCTCAGCACCAGCAGGAACAGGCAGGCAGTGGCTGGAGGCAGCTGAGACCAGCATCTGGCAGATGTGACTCATGGTGATGATGAAGGCTGGCATTGCTGATTTATAATTTCCATCTGAATGGAGCCAAAGGAACTCGGACTGACTGGCAACAGAAGCATGAATTAAGAAAAACAAAACAAAAACAAAAACAAAAAACCTCAAACCAAACCAAACTGGAGAAAAACTAGAACAAACACCCAAGAAAGCCCCCTCTTCCCCACAACAGCTGCTAAGGACTCTCTTTGGCCCTACTTCTTGGCTGCAAGCTCTGCTCTGGGTGTGGCTGCCTGCAGACCTTTGTCACTGGTCCCCAGACCCAACTACCTAAGTTAATTTGGGGAGAGGAGGACGTGGAGTAGTCTGCCTGGTATCCAAAGGCTCATGGCTGTGTCCGCGACTTCCCACCCTGGCCTGCTTCTCTTGCTGCAGCGTAAATCGAGGCTCAGTATTCTCGCCCTAGGGGCAGGGGCCTCCCACTTATACACAGCCACATGCTCTCTGTTCCACTGACCGCCTCTGTCCTTTCCTGTTCAGCTTCCCCACTATCCCTGCCTCAAGAACTCCACAGAGTCCTTGCCATGTAGGACTGTGGGTGGTAGGTAGCTTGGTTTTCACCCTGATTCAACTGCTGGTGCTGTCTAGGGAAGTGGAAGGAAAGCACCCACCCTCGACTGGCTCTGTTCAGTGTCTGCCTCCCCATGTCTCCGGGGATGTCATCTGTGGGTCCCTGCCAGCTGCCTAGTATTTGTGGTGTTTCCTCTCTCTGCTTAGGGCGGTAGTCCGGCTCTCTTGTTGACGCTAGGCAGTGGGCCGTGGCCCAGTAATTGGAAGGACGATGGCTGGGAGAGATCTTCTGCTTCTTCTTCTCTGATTGTTCAACTGTGGTTGATTCCCAAGCCTGGCTTCCTTTCCAGGTTGGAGGTAGAGTACCCAGGGAGCTCTGTAGGCCTGGCTGCTCCCCTCAGACAGTTACAACTGCTCCCAGGATGGTGGCCCTGGCTGATGGGTGCAGGGGGAGGCGAGTGACAGCACTGCTCCCCCTTTCAGTAACCCAGATATTTGGTTTGATCTAAAGATTCGTCTTTCAGGTTGAGTTTCTGTTTCTGGGTATGGCTGCCTCCCCACTTCGGAACTGCCTGTGTTTTGTTTTTCCAGTGGCTCTCCTCCAAGTATCTCCAACTGCTTCTTCTCCAACTGGCCAAGTTGGAATTCCAGACTTCTGTATTTTTTCCACTAATCTTTTTCAGTTCTAGGATCTAATCCAGGATACCATACTGTAGTTTGTTGTCATGTCTCATTTTTAACTATGACATATTTCTCAATGTTTCCTTGTCTTTCAAGATCTTGATCCTTTTTAAGGGTACTGGTTAGGTATTTTGAAGAATGGTCCTCAAGCTGAATTTGCCTGATGCTTTCTCACTATTACATGATGATTATGTATTTTCTGGTGAGTGATATGTATTACTAACTTATTCCTTTCAGTTTTTTAAACTAATTATTTCATGTGCTTGAATATTACCAAACTCTGTATTTGAAGGCCTGACTGTATTTGTATGATTAACCTCAAGGGAAACAACAGGTCTCCATTTGTCAGGCTGCTAGATACATGCCTCTAGCCTGGGCTCGGGCGGCAGACACTCAATGTTCATGGTAGGTCTCAGACCTGCCACGAAAACACTGGAAGTGATTTTCTTTTTGTAAATTATATGTATTTGAATAATCAAATTTTCACCAAACTTTTTAATGTTTTTAATTCATTGCTTAGTTTGAGGTGAATAAGAAACTGTTGAACACATGTAATGCACTTTTGAAAGCAGCTACCCTAACTAAACAGATAAAACAGGAATTATTTTAACATCCCTTCTTAGTCAAGAATTGTTTAGTTTCTTTGAAATTCCCCAGAGTATTTAATGTGTCCTCAAATACAGTATGGTTTTTCACAAACTTTATATAAAACAAGATTTCCCAGAATGTTTTACTTTAATTATTCCACTGCATTGTGATATTTATTCTTTTGTAACTATTTTTGTGTGTTGGCTTCCTCATCTAAATAAGCTGAGCTCCTTGAAGGTAGAAACTGTTTCTTTCACAAAGGTGCTTAGGCACAATAATATCTACACTTGGAAACAGTGACACTCTACAGACAATATAAAGAGTTGGGGCTTTATCACCTATACATGAGAAAAAGCTATTTCACCACTCAAATTAATTAAATAGAAAATTTCAGAGGCTTATAGGTAAAAAACTATTTTTAATCTTTGTTGGTACTGTAAATTTGAGGTATTCCCTCCCTACCAAATTTGGCTTTTGGGATCAAAAACCGGTGGCTTTAGGGATGGCAGATGTTTTTTTCTACAGGCCAGCCTGATTTCCAAATGTACTACAAAATCCCCCATGATCTTCAAAGTCAAATGTCACATCTTAATACACAGCAAATGACTGAAAATTGTACAGTGTGTTTAAACGGAACTTAACTCAATCTTTATTAGTAACAACGCATGAGTCGCGAGTGGGTAGTACACACCTGGTGTACACAGTGAGTTCAAGGCCAGCCTGAACTACTTGGTGAGACTGTGTCTCAAACAAATAAACATCCCCTTGGAAAAAACAAAACAAAAACAAAACAAAATAAAGTTCCCCCCAAACAAAAAAAGGCATGCTGAATGTTTGCTTACAGGTCACAGTACATTTTTAAAAACCAACTTTTATAGAAAACTCCAAAGAATTAATTTTGAAACATAATACAAAAATGTCTTTAGTTTAATAATACTATTATTAAGAAAGATAACAAAGGATATTACCTACTACCCTAGATTGTTACCCTACAATTGACCTACACATTTATACTCAAAGACATGCTAAAAACCTAACATAAAACAGGTTCTTATATCAGACTCATTTAAATTTGGGCACTTTGAGAAAAAATGGAAGAGCTGCCTACATTTAGTATTTAAGGAGCAGAAGTACAAAGGACACAAGTTTAATTTTACTGTAGGTAAGATTCTTAATAGGTAGGGTTTAGAGATGAAACAGAGCTAATGAAATGCCACTAGGGTGAGCTAACAAACTGAGAACTACTGAACATATATAAAAAGGGGAACAATCTATTAAATTTTCCATATTCATTCTCTTCTTCCTTTAAGCTCCTGCATATTTCTCACCCACTAAGAGTGGAATTTGGGTGGCTTTGGAAAGGTGAACTGTTCTTTTTGAGGCAGAACACTTACAAGGGGAAAACTTTTTAAGAAGACTTCTTCCAATGGCAATAAAATTATTTTATAAAATGGATTTGAGATTACTCGTAGTACTGAGACTATAAAATATTTCACCCACTAAGATAAAATCACTGATATGATGTAAAATTGGCTATCTTCACTCTTAACAAAAGCCACTTATTTATTTCTATGGCAAATTGCAGGCACACAGCAATTATACCTAACTGCTGTGAATACTGATTAATAAGTGGGGGCCGGAATACAGCTCAGCCGCACAGTGCCTCCTGACAAGTACAAGGTCATGCATTTGCAGAGAGGTTAAAAAAAACCCCAAAAAAACCACTAAGCACTTTAGGGCACATTTTACAGTGAAGTAAGTACATATTTGATTTTATAGATTAAAAAAATGAGAGATTATATTTAAAATGTCTGCAATATGGAACCTGCACATAACAGACAAGCATTATTACATAAATGTTAGGTTTAACTGCCAATTTACACTCAAGTCACAACTTTCTTTGGTTACACAGGCTTTTAACCAAGTAAATGCAAAAGACATTTTAACTTCATATAAAGAAACGCTTGCTTATGACTGATGTATGTATGTTCAGGGAGAGATAAAGAAAATAAAAAGCAGAAAAGCAGAAAAAAACGGAGGCTTACTAAAAATAAGAAAATCTTCAGCCAACATACAGTTTGTTTTGCCATTATATTATGTGGACAATCCCAACCCATCACTTGTTTTTTCAAGGTGCATTCTGTAAGTTACCTGATCTATACTCAGTTCTTCTGCCTTAGAAGTATTTTATGAGAGGAAGAAAAGTCACTCTATTTATATTTTAAGCCAGTAGACTCAGTGGGGCTTGCCAAGAAACCTCCCAAATGAAGGCAAGCATGGATGAAGAAACGCTTTTCGATTAAAAAATTTTTAAAGCGGCAGCTACACATTCTAATCTACCTGTACATTTTGTACTCACCAGAATAGTTGATCCCACTGCCTGCAGTAAATGGAACAATAGAAGTATTTTTAACTTTACCACATATTTTGAATTTTACTCAGACACATAATGAAAACATGGTGATCGTATATTTTTAACTACTGAAAATATATTCAAATGCTGAATAAGGAAATGTAAAAAGCACACTTTTGAAATACAAAATGATAATTATCTTTAGGGAGCTAGCTAAGAAATACATAAAGGCAATTAAAATTTTTAATTTTGGGAAGAGAAGCAATATTAAAACAGTAAAAAAAGTTATACTGATATAATAATAGGAAATTTTATTTCCTTTGCTAACTATGAGACTGCCTGAAAGACTAATTCAGGGACTACAATACAGCAATTTGTGCATTTATAATAAATTGTGTTAGTATCATGCAATGGAACACACATATTAAGCAAAATAAAAATTTAAGACACTAGAATAATTATTTAATATTTTCAAAAATCAAATTTGAAGGCTGGGGATACAGCTCAGTGGCAGAGCACTTATTTAGGGTGTGTGAAGCCCTGGGTTCTATCCCCAGCATCTTAAATATTCCAATTTTATGAATTCCAATCCTTCTCAATTACCATTATCATACTTAAGAACTCTAAACTCTATCAATAATTTTACTTTATTTACATAATAAATGTATTAATTAGTCTTACCATCTTTTCCATCTATGGATTTTGAGATTTCAGTATCAAAATTTTCCGGCATCTGCCGACCTTTAAAACGACTGAGATGTTCTTGCTCAATTAAATTACTTTCTTCTTCTTCTAGAGGCTGCCAAGTACCATCAATAAACCACTGTCCACGCATCACTGGTATTTTATCAGCCTCTGGAAAAAGAAATCACAAAATTATACACTTTAGGATTTAGCCTCTCAAAGTGAGCTACAATCCTACATTTTGCTGCTACTGTCATAAAAACAGACTTTTGTATCTCAAAACAATCATTGAAAGTGTAGCAAATTTCATGGCAGGGTATATTTTTTTCCATTAGCATAAAAATTTATACATAAAATTTTATTTTACATTTGAAAAGTAAATGAGCAACTGTCTATATAATTTAGGCCCTAAAAGGGGCTTAGATAAATTTCATACAAAGTTTTGTTGACAGTTCCGAAGTCTTAGAAAATACTGACGTAAAATTTCAGAAGCAATATTTAGAAACTGCATGTTTGGCAGTGATATGCAGTACTTTTCAGAGTTGCCTTGAGTTTATAAACCATTAGTATTCAGGAATAAACTACTAATTATCATAAATTTCTCATTTATTTTAGAAAAATGTTTTTGAATAATGATATTTCCCTGATTAAATATTATTTTTCAATTATGTAAAACCACTATTGTTAGCTATCTTGAAGTATTAAAAGATATTTCTAAATAGAGCAAAAATAAATCAAAATGAAGATAATAGAATCATATAATTAAAAAGCATAATGAAACAAGTGGACCTACCTATGTAGGAAGCTGGTGATTTAACCACATAAAGAGAAATTATTTCAAGTTAATTTAAAACACAGTATTTGTACACACATATTAGGAAACATCCTATGGACAAAAAGAACAATGAACATATCAAACTTTTTGTAATAACCACAGTTAATAATAATACTGGTATTGCTAATTTCAATCTGTAGATTAAGATGAATTTTTAATTCTGTTAATAGCATTAAGAACCTACAGTTTTAGCACAAAAATTTTGTTAACTAAAAACTTCAATAAGGAATGTTATTATGAGCTGAACATTTTCTCTTTAGAAACGACTGTGGTAACTGTTCTGCCAGCTTGAGTGAGAAAAGCCTCGTTGATTGGTTTAGCAGAGTTCTGGGTGTGACTGAGTTATAGATAAATTCAATGAAGAGGGAAACCCCACCCTGGGTCTGGGTGGCACCAACCAATAGGCTTGTAGCCCAGATGGAATAAAAAGGGAAAGGAGAGAGAAGGCTTTCTTCTTCTGTCTCTTTGGAGGAGCTCTATTCTTTGCCATTGCCTTTGGACATTGTTTCCATTCTTCTAGGAAGACTCTCTGGTCTTCCAGGGGAGCCTCTTCAGCCTTTCAGTCATAGTTTTTTCCTTCCTGATACACACTTGCATGCGACTCTGTAGTGAGCTCCAGGCTCTACTTGATTGTTCAGATTTCCAGCACACTAATCTCGCTTATGGATTCTCCCACTGTGACTCTGCAGGCAATCACTGTAAGTTTACCTTGTGAATCTCTCTCTCTGTATATGTCATTTCCCATGGAGGATCCAAGACTCTGATGAAATTTGCTTATTCTATGCGTGGGACAGGAAATGCATGTTTCTCTGTTGCTTTTTTGTATGTATTTGCCTATAATGGTACCCTGGAATAGCAGTTCTGCTGTACTAAGTGTCTGATGTTATTTGATGCATAAATTAAAAAGTACTGTAACTTCATGGTGAATTATATAGCTTTTAACATTGTATGTATACTGTTATATTTTTTCCCTTTAGCCTAGATTTTGCCTATGCTATCTTAGTATATCCTTTTTATTTTTACCTTTTGAGTTAATGATCTTACATGTATATTATCTATAGCACAGAACTAGGTTTTGCATTATGAAGCCATTTGAAAATCAGTTTCTTCTGAATCAGCCTGATGTGACTGAGATGTCTAAATTTAATTCTTTGATAATCACTCTTTATTATTAATACTTTTTCTTCACTACATGGTATTTTTTTGGTAATCTTTTTTATACTTTCTTTTGGTACTTAGATCTGCATTTTTTGCTCTAGTGGTTTTGTGTGTGCGTGTGTGTGCATGTGTGTACATTGTTGTAAACTTTAGAGTACCCTAAATCTCCTCTTTGCTTTTTACTACTTGGTCTGTCCATTTTAAATAATATCCTATGGCTCCCATTTATTACCTGTAAAATAGAGAAATACTGGATTTATTTTCCCTTGTATGCAACAATCACATCCAGGACACCAGCATTTTAGTTTTAGGTCTAATTTAAACACGTTGAGTTTACACTCGGTATTTACTAAAATTTTTTTTTTTTTTAATCGGTACCAGGGATTGAACTCACGACTGCCTGCTCGCAAGGCAGGTACTTACACCACTGAGCTAAATCCCCAACCCCAGTATTTACTAAATTTTTGCAGGTTCAAACTATCTGATATTTGAAGGACAGGCTGGCTAGACTGCTCCACAGTAGCATTCCTTTGAATATTGTCCTTAAGAAATATCATATAAGCTAATTTTCCCTTATTAGTAATATGATTTCCCCTCAGAAGGAAATGCTTTGCTTTTCAGTTTCCCAATTATTACTGAAAAACTTTCTTGGACTATGGTTTAGTTTTATTGCACAGATTTATTCTTTACTCAACTCTGATTTTTGCCTGTACAGATACGCCTTGTTTAACAATGGCTAATGACTGGGCTTGAGACTGAAGGCATACTGTTAGGACTTACAAACTTTTGTTTTCTGTATGATTTTGCACATTGTTTACAGGCCTTCAATGTCTTCTGCTTGTACACTATACCTGTTTACACAGTACTGACTATACTGAATAATACAGTACTGTAGTATGTTTTGTTATACACTGCAGTACTATATGTAAGACTTATGCAAATACAAGCAAGCTTACCAAGTTGGAATTTCATTTCACCATTTCTTCAGATCTGGATTTATTACTGTACATACTACATACATACAATTCCTCATTTATAGGTCAATTCAGTTAAAGATCTAGCCACAAGACCAGAATTGTGTTGTTAAACAAGGGATGGTGGTAGACTATTGTGTTTTAGGCACATTCACTAAACATTTTGTACAAATAAAAACAGCATTCATGATAAGATAACCATCTTGAGAATACGTGTTAATATAGTGTCTGATACTGGGAAAAGTGAGCTACCTGGCTTTTTTGGATACTTGTTCTGGCTCAATATCCACAATATACATAGTTTGTCTGTTTTGATGTAGAAGGAAGTCATTTAGAGCATGGTTCCATGAGACCTGTTGGTAACATATGATACAGGCAGAACTGTGCCTTGGCCAGAAAATTTATCACTCTTTGGCTTACTTCTAAGCACTATTTGCCTCCAATAGCTCTTCCGGCAATAATGGAACTGATTCATTCAGAGGTAAATAAATTCTCAGATATAAACTCTTTGAAAGTGGTATTACCTTTGAAACTTGATATGCAGGAATGCCTCATATATGGGAGCACTCATTCTCTCAAAGGTTACATATTGACTTTCAAACCACAGGAAACTACGGAATGATTATCACCGTTATTCTTGGCTCAGTGACTGTTTCGTGGTTTTTGCCTTATAATCCTAGCTAGAAAGCTCCTTTATCTGTCTTTCTATCCTCCAAAGTATTGCAGAAGTGGACAGAGTTCCATTAATGCTAGTTTCACTGTCAAGGATATTTGGCATTTCCAGTGATTTTTATGGACTCACACAGTTAGTTCATGGTTTTGTGATATCTTATGAGTAGCAGTTTAGTTGAACTGGTTCCTTGCAGTATCCTGCAGAAGCTCCTTCATTAATGAGCCAAAACTGCACATTTAATTTTTTTTTTTGTCTTTTTCTTTATCGGTACCGGGGATCGAACTCACGACTGCCTGCTTGCAAGGCAGGTGCTTATGCCGCTGAGCTAAATCCCCAGCCCCCAAAACTGCACATTTAAAACACAGCTTCTAGTAATATTAACTGTATGATCAATGTAACTTTCAAGAATTCATGGAAGCTGCTAAGATGCTAGGACAAGGCATGTGAGGAAATATGGGAATAGCTTCTTTACTGATTTGCTGAAGATCGTATCCAAATCACACTTGTTTTGCAATCATGATTATTAATGAGTACTTTATCACTGCTGCATCATATGATGTCCTGGATTTTTATAGTATCCATTCCTGCCTTTTCTGACACATGAGGTATCAATATGCCTTCCGCTGATGTGATGGTGTGTTAGTGGCTGCTGTAAAATTTTAAAGGTTATTAGAGAGCATGTTCTAAAGAAAAATAATTTTCCTTGAACTATTTTGATAATATGATGTCTAACAGATACCCTTCATTTAACTACCTATCCAATTCAGACTCATGACTGAAGCATGCTATTTGGACTTAGGGCCTGCAACTCCAACTGACGACCCATCTTTTTGTTTGTAAAGTTCTCTATTTTCTATTTATAGCGCCTCAATGTCTTTTACTGTAAAGTACATTTGTTTAGACAGTGCTGTAATTTTTGATTATACTGTATTGTAGCTTTATGTTGTTATACACTACAGTACTGCATTTAAGAGTTATGCAAATAAAAGCCAAACCATCAAGTTGGAGTTTCCTCTGAATACTGTCATGTACATACTATAGATAATTCTTCATTTAGTGACCAATTCAGTTAACTACTTAGTTGCCAGAATGAAAGTTGATCTTTAAATAAGTGGCTGTATCTTTCTGACAGTGGTTTTTTTTTCTTGTTTTTATTCTCCTGGTGTTTTCCCTCATCAATGGACTTTATTAGATTTTTATTTGACTTTACTTTAGGTAACTTGTGACCAGTGTGTTCTTTGTGAAATGATGTCGCCGTTCAGTTCCCTTCCTGAGCTCAATCAAATATTGTTGCAATTTTTTGTTTTGTCTTAAGATTTTGGATTTCTGCTTTTAAGTTTTTTCATTCTTGTGTACAAGTTTGTTCGAGGTCATCTTCTTCATGGGAACATGTTATTCGAGATAACACTTTCTTTTAGTTCTGTGTTTGCTTCTTGGGGAAGAGTTTTATCAGTTGAAATGCCACGATTTCTGTGTTCCTCTTAAAGTAGCTTGTATAGCATCTGGCTCACTTCGATTACTGGGCACTTGT